GTTTTATGGTTATACAATTCATTAATTTGCTTTTCATATTAATAATTTGTGAAGTGAGACAGGTTTTGATAAATATATTAATGGTGGTTTTGGTTATTTTGATATATACACCAAGTTTTAATAAAACTTATCTTCCATACAACCAAATATTCTTTTATTAAATGTAAATAATTTAAATAGTTTCATTACGCTGTCATCATCAGTCATCTAAAATATACATACAAGTTCATATATAAAAATATGTAACATTATCAATTTTATAATATCTCAATCTCATACCTAAAATCACTTACTTTTATAAAGTGTTAGTTTTAAATCATCATAGAAAAGACAAAAACCTTAGAGATCCTTTAAAATACAATTTTTATTTTACAAAAGCTCACACTCTTAGCTCGCTGAAGAGGTCTTTTTTAAGTTAGCTATTGGTTAAGGTTCCCTTATTATGATCTTAGTGGTGTGGTATCACATATATTTGACTATAAATATTTAATTCATAAGTAATAAAGATAATTACTTACAAGATAAATTAGAATACTAGCTGCATACTATAAGGATTGTAGCAAATTAATTTTCACATTCTTTATTTGTTACAAATTCAAATAATTATAGCTAATACCCACATATTAAATATATATTGAGACTAGTAGCTAACAATGATACAAATGTTGTCACTACCATGAAAATAAATTTGTATAGCTAAATACCTAAGAGATACAAATTTTAATATTTATAGCTAATGTATAAATAATAGCTATATAAGTAAATTGTAGCTAATAATGATACTAATGCCAGTACATAAAATGTTTATAGCTAAATACAAATTGGCTACAAATCTAATATTTTATAGCTAATGCACAAATAATAGCTATATAGTTAAAACTCATAGCAATAATGATACTATATGCCATGTAAATGAAATATTTATAGCTAAATACATTAATTAGCTACAATGTTTTACCATAGCTAATACATGTAGCTAAATGAATAGCTATTGCCACAATTTAATAAGTTAAAGCAATAAATGAATATTAGCTTCGAGGGAGAAATTCTATGACTAAAATATTCAATTAGCTATAAAATATGAATTTTATAGCTGGAAATATGTATTTGATATAGTTTTTCTTTTCGTAGCTAATTTTCATACTATATGTGTATATTGTTGTAGTGGTGGTTCACTAGGACCTCTCATTGTATCATCTATATTACAAAATTGAAATGTTCTATAAAGCATGTCGAAACCTGTATTGATCTTGATGGCGCGACGTTCCCAATCTCGAAGACATGTGAGGACTTCAATCTTGGAGCAAGTTTAGTCCTCTTTCATTTAAAATCCTTCCACTTGCACAAATGTTTTGCGGATGAGAAGGTTGAGACAGGAACAGCGAAAACATCCAAGGCAAGTCTTGATAATACGGAAAAATACATTTTTGGCTTCCAATACTCAAGAGATCAAAGTGACCTGTTGAAACATTTCGGGTTGCCAAATATTGTTGAAGTTCATTACTCTGCGACTCATGGAGGACAGCATATTAGTTGTTTGTTGTTGTTGTGGTGGTGTGGGCTTTGAAGAGGAGGCTGTGCTTCGGACTGGGTCCTCTTCGGCCTATTCAGTGCATTCCAAGAGAATAAGTCTTCATTTGTTTCTTCTGCTACAGCTTCTCTGGATATTTCGCCTCTTTGCGACTGCGGGTTCCCATAACTGTTTTCATATTGGAAATATACTTCGAAAGACTATTTTTTACCTCTCCTATTGATTGACATTGATTCGTTTTGTAAATTTTCACTTAAATTGTCAAGACATTTTCTAAACGTGCTAATTTAATTCTAGGATCAAAATAGCACCTAAACAATAAAGAAAAGGAACGGGTTTCTAATATTTCAAAAAAAAAATTTCCATTGCCTTTATTGGTGCATGTAAAATTTCATCTTTTTTTTTTTTTTGTAAATAACTCGGAAATTTTTTAATTGCATGTATTACCAATGGACTAGTAGGATAATACAAACAGAAAGTTGTAAAGTGGCTTGGTAAAAACATTTGAGAAAAGAATGAAAACTTTAGCTATCTTACATCATTTCTTCCAAATGATGAGGACCTCATTATTTGCTACAAAATACTAAGGTAAACATAAATCAAGCATTAAATAAGTACTATTCCATCTAACAGGCATATCTAATGCAAAAGTTTAGGAGACATATTTGATTTATACAAACTTCTTGAAATTCAGCATTTCTTTATTTACTACTAGTAAACCAAGCTAAAGATTCCCTAATTCTATCAATATTTTTTTTAATGTTTTCATACCACTTTTCACATTAATAATAACATGACATGCACAAGCTGTGTGAAAAAACTTCAAATATTATATAAAAGATATTATTTTGAAAAAATTCTATAGCTTTACTATTAGAACTTGCATTATCTAAAGTTAAACTTACACTTTATCAATAATATCATAATTTCTAAAACTTCAAAATTTATTATAGATTTAAAACACTATGATCCACATATAATCTAAATCCTAATAAAGATTTATAATTTAAATTATTATCAAAATAATGACTAGTCACACAAATATAATCTTGTTTAGCTTACCACTCCAAATATCAGCAAGTTAAGCCACACTAATATGACAAGTATGAAATATTATTTTTATTCTAATTTTTTTTAACAATTTTATTAAATCATTTCTAGTTGCAGTTTTAGAAATTTTAAATCCTGGAAAAAAAGATTTTGAACAAATCTTTCAAATATTTATCTTCTGCATATTAATAGGTTGATCAGATGCAGCAATATATAAGCTAACCGTTCCTATATACATCAGAATTATAATGCCCAGTAGTACACCATATTAGATTTGAGTTTGATTGCTTTCTCTATTTCCATGTTGATTAATATGTTATTAGCATGCTTTTTAAAGTACTAGATCATTACCTGATAGCTTTATAAACATTTGCATAATATTTGCATCTTGCTTTCTGACTTGAACGCCATTTTCTGTCTCGTAAAACTGTCGAAATGCGCCCAAACGTCTGAGTGTGTGGTTTCGCTTTCGACGGCAGTTGATGATCCCGCCTCAGCTGAGATGAAGTGGACGAGGACGACGATTACGAGGACGACTTCAGAACCACCGGGCGCTGTTGGAATCGACGGCATATTTTGAGGTGTATCGGATTTTGAGACTGGGATTGGGACAGCGGGACTATTTGAATCTCCTGCATCATAGTAAAACAGCGGGACAGGACTAGGATAATAGTTTCTTCCTCATTGAAATTGATGGAGAGAAATATCTATCATTGTAGAATTGTAGTTGAAAAAAAAAATGATGTAGAAGAAATAAAATTAAAGAAAGAGATTTGGAAATATGGAAATGGAATTGAATTAAAATTGCAAAACCTAATAAAAATTAAAATAAGAGCAAATTGATAACAAAATATTAAGAGAATAAATGAATAATGAGAGAGAGTGCGAGAATAGAGAATATGAGAAAATGAGAGAATTTGAGTTGTGAGAAAAATATGAGAGTTTAGGGCCAATTTATAGAAAAAAATAGGGAAAGAAAATGACGAAAAAGACCCCTCCAACGGCTATAAAACGGCTATATTTCAAGGGTAAAAGTGTAATTGAAAAAAATAAAAAAGATTTACAATTTTATTTTATTTTTTTTGGGCCAACCCGGCGGGTTGGCCGTTGGCAACAGCGAACCCGCGGGTTGGCTATGCTAACCCGCCAGCAACCCGCCGGGTTGCGGGCCTCTTGCAAAGAGGACAAATTAGCAACCCGACGGGCCGCCGGGTTACCATTGTGTAACCCGGCCCGCCCGGGGGTTGCTGGCGGGTTGGGCTCAACCTGGCCCGCCATTAAGGCGGGTCGGTTTGAGCCCTCTTTTTTACGAGCCGGGTTAGGGTTGGCCTGCCTAACCCGGCCCATTTTTTCCACCTCTAAGCATGACAGGGAGTGTTAGAAGTTTTATTTGTCATACATAATCAAACTGTTGAGTTGTTATATATATATTCTGCCCCGTACATCCAGCATGAGAGGGAGTGTTAAAGTTTTATTTGTCCTACAAAGTCAAAGTCAAAGTTGTTAGGTTGTTATGAAATATATATATTAATTCAATAATATTGTATTGCTTTCATATTACGCTACTAATAAATATAAATCCATTGAAGATTAATGAATATTTGCTTAAAAAATATGGCCAGCACTGAACTCCAACTCTCCAAAGGCAAGATAATAAATCCTCCGTTCTGTGAGAAACAGAGGAAGACACAGAAAAAAGGGAGCTTGATCTTCTAAAAGAAAGGATAAAAAAAATTAACATATAAACCATCTCTAACTCTGAAAATAAAGAATACATAAGCCAGATTTTCAGAGAGATTTCTACTGTAATCGGCACTTGGGTATAATATTTGAAACAGGATGAAGACAAACAGTAACCTAGTTTCCTGGAAATATAGAAGTCTTCTCAGTCATTTATAAACCATAAATTCAGTCAACATTTTGCTTTAAAGTCATGAAACTAGTTGACCACTTGGGGCCACTATAGCAAATTCAGTCAACATTCTTGAAGATTTTCCTTGATTTAAGAGAACTGTTTCATATGACTATACAATTGTCACGTATCACGAATAAGAGTACAGATAAATTTATAAGTTTTGGGTTCACCCCGTAAATGTCGTTTGGGTAAAGCATGCTCACGTGAAACATAACGGGTTATACCCCATCAACAGTAAAGCCGTGGAAGGTTTAGCAATCCGATTGTATCAACTATTTATGTCAAGGCTGGCGGCTACTCGGAAAGAGGAATCTTCATAGAATAATTTGCTCTCTTATTGCTTTAGTAAACTTTCATAGAAAGAGACAAAGTTCAGCGGAAAAATGAAGGCAATAATTGAACTTTAAGTGGGTCAGTGGGGCTGAAGGTTCCCAATAAACCGACTTAATTCCCTGTTTTAAAAGCAAGTCAATTGACTTGGAAACTGATTTGGATTGAGTACAATTATTTGCGAATCTCCTGGATAAATAACAGAGGAAAACATAAAGTATTGTGGTACTTCTGAGGCTAGAAAGATCAGTGAAATTGTGCCGGAACTTTACTAAATGATCAACAAAGTTCCAAGGAAATTCGGATTATTGAAGTTTCACAACTACTCAAATCCAGGTAGTTTTTATTGCCTTAAATTCAGAATCTGAGGAAGGTTCTTCACAAATGGATCAAAATTTGTCTCCATTGATAAGCTGTTGTATCTTCACGACTTTCTTTTTTCTGGCAAGAACAGCCTTAGGCACTGTGCAGCATAACAATGAAGCCTGTGTGCCGAAATCCTGTGGCGATGGCCTAAACATAAGCTACCCATTTTATATCCATGACAAGCAAGAATCCTCCTGCGGGCATCCTGAATTCCAACTGTCATGCAATAACCAAGGGAATCCAATTCTCAACATAAACAGTACCGACTACACTATCCACCAAATCTTCTATACAAACCAGTCTTTTCTTCTCTCAAACCCACTGATTTCTGCAACACTAAATACTTCATGTATCAATAGACTTCCCCGAATCCAAAACCTGTCATTTCCTGATGAATACTTCGAGCTCGTTCCTCTTCAAAAAGAAACTGTTTTGATATATAATTGTGAGTACTCAAAATTACCTGATAATGTCAACTTTTTCAAGGTGAATTCTTCCTGTGACGGCGAAAATAGTTCATTGTTGGCGGTGTATAAGAACGATGCTAATTTGGGTAACGCGTTGGATAAATGTAATGATGTAGTGGTGGCACCTGTGGATATAAATGAAGAAGACAATCTTATGGGGATTCAAGAAAGACTTAAAAGAGGGTTTTTACTTAAATGGACAGTTCCAAGTAAGTCCCCTGAACTACACGGATAAGAGCTAAAAAAAATTATTCTTACCATTTACCTATTATTACTTAATTGGGATTGATTTTTTTTTTTTTTTTTTTAAAAAAATTATTCTTACCATTTACCTATTATTACTTAATTGGGATTGATTTTTTTTTTTTTTTTCCGTTAAATTTTGTTGTTCCAAGATGTAACAACTGAAGATCTTCCTAAATCTGACTCAAGTAAGTAAATCTACATTTTTATCACTTCGTTAAATTAAGATGTACTATTCAGTCTAATATATGTTGAAAATTCTTAGCTCATTTCCTGCAACCAAATTGGTATCTCTTATTTCNTTCCAAGTAAGTCCCCTAAACTACACGGATAAGAGCTAAAAAAAATTATTCTTACCATTTACCTATTATTACTTAATTGGGATTGATTTTTTTTTTTTTTTTTCCGTTAAATTTTGTTGTTCCAAGATGTAACAACTGAAGATCTTCCTAAATCTGACTCAAGTAAGTAAATCTACATTTTTATCACTTCGTTAAATTAAGATGTACTATTCAGTCTAATATATGTTGAAAATTCTTAGCTCATTTCCTGCAACCAAATTGGTATCTCTTATTTCTAAATTGGGATTGATCTTTTTCTTAATTTTGTTGTTGTAAGATGTAACAGCTGGAGATCTTCCAGAACCTGGCTCAAGTAAGTAAATCTACAATTTTTTCACCATTCTTTTGGGTTTTTCTTTTTTTTTATTCTCCATAAAATTTACTTCAAACAAATGTTATGGTCTGTTTTGCAGGTAATGGCAAAGGTCTAATAAAAAAGGTTGCAGTAGGTAATCTAGTAAACTCCCTTCTCCTAAAAGTTGTACATGATTGTCTTCGATTATTACAACTGTTTATCCTTTATGGCCTAACTGTTCATAATCTTCTTCAACCATTTGTTTGATTGCAGCTGTAGTAGTCACTGGAATTGCAATATTGACCATAATTCTAGTTTTTTGCTTGATCTGGAGAAAATCATCATGGAATATGTATATGCCCCTCTGGAAGAAGAAAACTAAGAGAAGTCAAGATGACATTGAGTTCAATTTATATCCTAAAAGATACAGTTTTGCAAAAGTTGAGAGTTCATTGAGTGAAGAACTTGGGACAGGAGCCTTTGGATGTGTTTACAAAGGTAACCTCGATGGTGTTGATGTGGCAGTGAAGGTCTTGAACGAATCCAAAGGTAATGGAGAAGAATTTAGTAATGAGGTTAAAAGCATTAGTAGCACTTCTCATGTTAATATAGTCAATCTTATCGGTTATTGTTCTGAAGAGAATGGCAAAAGAGCTCTTATCTATGAGTTTATGCCTAATGGATCTCTTGAGAAGTTCATTTATGGAGAAAATCCATTGATGATAGATGATAAGCTGAAGTGGAAAACATTGCATAAAATTGCAGTTGGCATAGCTAAAGGCTTGTGCTACTTACATAGCGGCTGCAAGACACAAATTTTGCACTTTGACATAAAGCCACATAATATTCTCTTAGATGAAGACTTCAAGCCTAAGATATCTGATTTTGGCCTCTCTAGAATATGTCCTGAGAAACAAAGTATCATAGAGATGACAAACGGACGAGGAACTCGTGGCTACATTGCTCCAGAATTAACAACACCAGGTCAAAAAATTGGAGGGTCTCAGAAATCGGATGTTTATAGCTATGGAATGATGGCCTTAGAAATGGTTGGAGGAAGAAAGAATCTTGATATCGGAGCTGATCAAATCAGTAAAATATATTTTCCAGATTGGGTTCACAAACGTCTTGAATTAGAACAAGAACTTGAACTACAAGGCATTGCAAATGATGAGGATAAAGAATATGCAAGGCAGATGCTAATAGTGGGCTTGAAGTGCATTCAGAGTAATCCCTCTGACCGGCCAACAATGAGTGAAGTGGTGGATATGTTAGAAGGAAAGCTTGGTCCCCTGGAAATTCCGCCCAAGCCTTAACTTCCCAAGATCGCCTGCTTCCTCTCCAATGAATTTCACTGAATACTATTGGTTCACTGATGATCGGAAAGCTTTCAATCTTGTAATATATGTCTGTTGTTTATTTAACAAAATATTTCTGTAAGAGTAATATGTGTATATCAGTGCCATTGGCAGCATTCTGAGACTCTGTCCCTATGTCTTGCCAGTATTAATTTCTCTGTGATATATTTCAATTCCAGAAAGAATTTTGGATTTTGGATTCTACATCACGATCGAAGTTTTGTGTTTTTTTTTTTTTTCCAAAGCGCCATCACAAAGCTGAAACTCCATCATCAAAACCATCCCTGTTGCGGTTGCCTTTTTGTGATTGCCACTCCAGTCTTTGCTCAAGAATTCTCTATTAATTGATCCAAGGGGGTTCCATTTTGCCCAAATTTATAGCTCTATTTGGTTCAAGTGTATCCGAAGATTCCTATGGCTCCAGAGGAACAATTTCCACCACAACTTTCTACTCCTGGAAGGAAGAATTTGGCTCGAAGAACGTTTCTTCACTGAACCAGGACTGCCAGGATCAAAATTCTGCCTAACCTTTTTCTTTTAAATCATCATAAGACTCAGATTTTGAAGGAGGCAAATAATCTTCCATTATCAAGCTCTATTATTTTTATATTTGGCTGCATATGCTTGATTTGGTTTGATTAGACAGTCCTTTTCTCTTGCAGACATCTTGACTGTTTTAAAATCTGTAGTTTAGTCTCTTCATAAAGAATATGTTAGACAAAATTTTACAAAGCTGTAATGCGAGAAGTAGAAGTTTCAGGTTTCCAGCTAACTGATAACTTTGACAACTTCTTGACAGGTTTCTAGGACCCATCTTAGGGTTTTTGCCTTAAAACTCATACAAAGACTCCACGGTTATCAGTTCATTATCCTCTCTACCCTTCAAAACTAATGGATCAAAACTTAGCTTCTCCATTAACAAGCCTCTGTATCTTCACTGCAAATCTTTCTTCTTGCAGGAACAGCCTTCGGTTCTGTAGAGTAGAACAACCAAGCGTGTGAGCCCAAAGCCTATAGCAGTGGCCAAAAGATGACCATGAGACCATCTCCAACCCATTGCACCAATTTGGTGCAAAATTGCACCAAATTGGTATAAATTTTGGTGCAAAATTGCACCAAATTGATATAAATTTTGGTGCAAAACACTATTCCATCTCCAAATATTACACCAACAAGAATATTCTTTTTTTTCTTCTTTTATTGTAATAATCAACAATTAATCTATTTCACTCATTATTTTTGTATATATTAATTAAATATTGAGAATGATATTTTTATTAAATAATAATTATTTTGAAAATTATACTAATTTAATAAAATTAAACATTTATTTAATCAAATAAGCATTACATTTAATATAGAAAAACATTACATCTAATATAAAATGATACAAAAAAAAAAAAACAACAACAACAACAACACAAAGGTAAAATTCCATATTGATAGTAATTTAATTTTCCGAATTAGTATGTCCTTCCCACAAATGATCAATTAATGCATTTCGAAGAGCATGGTGAGCCTCTGTATCCTTGATTTGTTTATGTCGAGCAAGAAAATTTCGAAATCCGACATTCTCAAATTTGGTGTTAATTTTTATTTTAAGTTATTGTAGTTTAATATTTGCATTGAATAAAGTTCTATTTTTAATTTTTCATCATTTTTTGAATTATATCATTATTATAAATTTATTATTATAAATAATAATTAAATTAAATTAAATACAAATAATCAAATTTGGTGTGATTTTTGGTGTAAAATTTAATACTCAAATTAACTTAACAAAACAAAAGAAAAAAAAAAAGCAAAATTAAAAAAAAAAAATTATTGGGCGCTATAGTGCCACGCCATTTTGGTGTGGCGCAGCACTGTAGCACCACACCAAAATGGCGTGGCGCTTTGGCGTGGGTTGGAGATGCCCTAAGCTACCCATTTTATATTCAGGGACAGATAAGAATCCTCCTCTAGATTCTAACAGATTAGCTCACATCGGTCCTTAGGGTAATGGTAGTAATGCCAACACGCTTCATTGACTTTTGTCGGAATCCAACACCCGGCCACCACGTCCGGTGGTCACAGTAGGCTGTCAATCCAGTTTTTTTAATTTAAAAAAATATATATTATAAAATTCTTATTTAATCAAATTAATAGAAGTAGGAAAAAAGCCCAAGCTCAAAACCCGATCCCAACACTGGTGCTTGGGATCGGACTAGGCCCAAGGGAGGAGAGGCCCGGGCTCGAGACCAGTCCCAGCCTAGGCCCATTAATTTTTAAAACCCCTTACCCAATTACATAAACCCTCCTAACAAATATACAACACCATCTATAATATATGAAATGCATAATAAATTTAGGAATTAATATGTAATTTTACAAAAATAAAATAAAATAAAATAAAATAATTTTTTTAGAACCGGTCCTTAAGGATTTGGGTACAGTGATTGGTCCTAATTTGGGACCGGACCTTGAAGGCCTAGGCCCAAGACTGCCTAGGCCCAGGCCTTGCCCACCTCTAAATTTAGATACATATATATTTAAGTTTATTTTGTAATTAGATAAACGATATAAGGGTATACTTGTCATTTAATATCACAAAATCATTTTAAAGAATAATCTGATTTTAAAAAAATACTAAAGGTAGTTTTCCAAATTCTTTTATAAATCAATTTCAAAGTTAATCAATTTTAAAAATGGTTTATAATTACGTATGAATAATGTATATAGCTTCGTCTAAAGATTAGTCGAAGTATACGTAAGTTGGTTTTAACAATTTAATTATTGAAAAAAAAATGTTTAACAAACATTTTTTATATTGTCCCTTAAAAATTAACATCAACCCCAACCGCCCTCTTAACTAATGCACCAATTCTTTCAATTTTTCTTTTCCTCTTTTTTATATTTAACATTAGTGGGCAATTCTTAGCTTCTTGGACGGGCAAAGAGCAAGTAACCGACAACCAATTGAATAGCTTCTCCAAAATGGGGTTGGGATTTGGTGTTGACTATTGGTGGCCGGCCATTTTACGACTCTTTACTTTCCTTTAATAGTGAAGGTACTATTTGGTCCCTGGATGATTCAAAAGTGACAGAATCCACCCCAAGTGTTTATGACAATTTAACCCCAGAATAGCATAAATGAGACAAAATCAACTCTAATTAATGAATCAGACCCTAATATCAACTTACACAATCACAAAATTCATTCTAAACATGCAAAAACTGTAAGAAAAAATTAAATTGTGATTTTTTATGCATAATCTTATAAATTCTTTAATTATCTCACTATGATCTCATTATTAAGCACAAAGGGGTATTTAATTTTCATAATTCTAGAACCATGCATATCACAACTTGATCTTACAAGTCTTCGCTATATCCACTTTTCAAGTCAACTGGGGTGTTTTTCAATGAACAGTTTTGGAAATATTGATAAGAAATAATATATAGAAATCACACGACATAGAAAGAAGAAATGCAAAGTATTCTCTGTGGAAATCGCCCAAATTCTTCATAAAGCTGGTCTCATTTCATTAGTCGACAATGGATTGAGCCTCTGCAGTTAATTTCTCTTCTTTGTAGTTGATTGTTTGTCAAGTCACCTGCACAGTTCCCTTTCTGCTAAACTTTCATAGGCAAAGACTCTTCAATTACAAATTCATTCATATCCTCTCTACCCTCAAGCAATGACAAAAAACTTCATGTTTACCTTCATATTTCATTTGTTTCCATCTCCAAGCGTCTGTACTTCCATTCTTTTTCTGCTTTCAAGAACAGTGTTAGCAGCTGTGGACCCTCACTATGTAGCCTGTGAGCCCAAAACTTGTGGAGATGGACGAAACATAAGCTTCCCATTTTATATCCAGGGCCAACAAAAACCGTTCTGTGGCTAACCTGGATTTAACCTCTCATGCAATAACAAAGGAAACCCAGTTCTAAACTTGCACAATATCGACTACATTATCCTCCAAATCTTTTACAGCAACCATTCTCTTCGTGTATCAAACGCTGCGGTTTCTGAAACCATTAATGTTAACTCTTTTTGTATAAATCCCCCTCATCCTCGAAACCAAAGACTTTCTCTTCCTGACGACCGCTTTGCGCTTGTTTCTAACCAAACTGAACTCCTTTTGCTGTACGATTGCAGCTCTTCATTGCCTGGAAAACTTTTACAGTATAAAGCTGGCAAGTGTGAAGATAACAACAAAACTAGGACAGTTTTGGCACTGTTTAAAGATGATCCTAATCTGGGAAATGCGTCCAAGGAATGTGGCAGCGGTCAAGTGGCTACGCCGGTGGATATGCACGGCGGAGACAGCGGTGGTCTTGGAATTGAAGAGGTGATAAAAAGAGGGTTTTTACTAAAGTGGACAGCAACTAACTGCAGCGTATGTGAAGAAAGTGGTGGCAAGTGTGGGTTTGTTGCATCTACCTACCAGTTCAAGTGTTTTTGCCCTGATAGGCCTCATGCTGTGCATTGTAAACGTCCTGGTAAGCCCCTTTTCACTGAAATTTCAATGGAAATCTTAATTGACAAACTTGATTCCATTGGAAATAATTATTTTCAATGTTAAGCATAACCACTTTAGAATCTGTAACATTCTGGAGATTTAAGGATTAGGATCAGCAGATTGACAGCTCTAATTTTTGTTTTTCTCTGTGAACTTTACTTTAATTCTTACGGTTTGTTCTGCAGGCAAAGTTAATGGTCTTATCAAAAAAGTTGCGCTAGGTAATACAATCTTCAACTCCTAAAAGTAGCACAATTGTCTCCTGTTAGCTCTCTTTTTTGGTGGCATTAAAATTGATGACTCTTTTCTTTGACAACAGCGATAACAGCCACTGCAATTGGCATGTTGATCTTTCTAGCTTTTTACTTCCGGAGAAAATTATCATCCAATAATTGCATAGTCTTCTGGAAGAAGAAAACTAAGAATTATCAGAACATTGAGATCTTTTTGAGGAGCTATGGAGCCTTAGCTCCTAAAAGATATAGCTATTTTCATGTTAAGAAAATGACCAATTCATTCAAGCATAAACTAGGTCAGGGAGGCTATGGAGATGTTTACAAAGGTAGTCTGTTCGATGGTCATAACGTGGCAGTGAAGGTCTTAAACAAACCAGAAGGAAATGGGGAAGAATTTATTAATGAGGTGGCTACCATTAGTCAGACTTCTCATGTTAACATTGTGACTCTTTTAGGCTTCTGTTTTGAGGGTCATAGAAGAGCTCTTATCTACGAGTATATGCCCAATGGATCACTTGAGAAATTCATATATGAAAAAACTCAATCCAACACAAATCATAAGTTGAAGTGGGAAACGTTATACAAAATTGTCGTCGGCATAGCTAGAGGATTAGAATATTTACACCGTGGCTGCAACACGCGAATTTTGCACTTGGACATTAAGCCTCAAAACATTCTCCTTGATGAAGACTTTTGTCCAAAAATCTCTGATTTCGGCCTTGCTAAAACTTGTCCCAAGAAAGAAAGTGTCATATCTATGACGGGTGCACAAGGAACTATAGGTTATATTGCACCAGAAGTGTTTAGTAGATATTTTGGGGAAGTCTCTCACAAGTCAGACGTTTACAGCTATGGAATGATGGTTTTAGAAATTGTTGGAGGAAGGGAAAATGATAATGTCATGGTTGAGAATACCAGCGAAATATATTTCCCACATTGGATTAACAACCATCTTGAATTAGATGAAGAACTTCTATTGAAAGGGCTTGCAAGTGAAGAGGATAAAGAATGTACAAGGAAGATGATAATAGTGAGCTTGTGGTGCATACAAACTTACCCCTCAGACAGGCCAGCAATGAGTAGAGTAGTGGAAATGTTGGAAGGAAGTCTTAGTTCCCTGCAAATTCCCCCCAAGCCTTTAACTCCTCTTATATCATCGCCAGCAAGAGATTCTTCAGCTCCATTTATAAGCTAATATGCTAGCATTGTAATCAAATTACCCTGTTTTCCCATCCAAATGCATGTCTACACCAACCAATTTCATGTTTTGATTGAACATTAATGAATATGTGTTCATCTCTATTCTAGAAGTAGGCATTGGGATTTAATTTTCTTACATTGTAATGCCATTGATATTGTCAAATTTTCTTCAAAAATATGGCCAGCACTGGAATCCAAGGGCTGGATAATAAATCATCTGTTCCATGTGAGATAAAGGGAGAAACGGAAAGAGCATAGAACTTGATCTTCTCAAAGAAAGGAAAAGTTCTTAAGAGGAAAATCCAACAATATGATAATTTAACTGCGATCAATTTGTTTTATGGATTAGCATTAACTCAAAGCAACAGATGAAAATGCCAGGTTTCAAGATGAATGCACTAAACAAAGCTTAATTATAAAGATTTGAGGCAATTATCTTCGCCTGTTCAAACCCAACAGATCATGACTCATCCCCTTCACATTGCAAAAGGAATCTCAACTTCCGTACAGTCCCAGCAAGGCCACAGAACACCAAGCATTAGAAAAAACAGCTAACAAAGCTTACATTCACGGAAAGGACCGTCCAATCGTTTTCACTATATCAACCAGTAAACGGGATGCAAAGTTTATCTTCTGAAGAAATAATATGAAGAAAGCCAGTACATTTATCCAATCTCCTCATTTTCGAAGCCTTTAACACCATAAACCCATCAAAAATATTTTCTCCAATCGTGGATGCTATACCAACTTGAGATCTTACTAGTCTCCAGTGATGCTAATTATTGAAGTTGAATTTGTCCCGCATCGTGGAGTTGGCGAGCTATTATGATGTATATATGTGGTTAGACTTCCTCCTCCCTTGAACTAGTTTTTCAGAGTGAGTTCTACCCAAGTCATTTTATCATACATTTGTTTGAGGCAATGATAGGTTTGGGTTTGGACCCAGCCTTGCACGTCGAGCGTGAGAGAGGGAATTGAAGTTGAATTTGTGGGCTGTCATGCTATATATGTTTGAGGTGATGATGGGTTTGGACCTGGCCTTGCACCCTGAGCACGAGAATTTGTCTCACGTCGTCAAGTTGGTAGGCTGTTATGGTTGGACTCTCTCCTTCTTTGAGCTAGCTTTTGGGCTTAGTTCTACCCAAGCCACTTTATTACTAATATCATAATCTGTCAAGTGATTTGTGATAGTTTTCAGCATACACTTCAGCCCATATCTTCACACTTTTAATTTGATTCCTAAAACATCGTCTTACCTTTGAGTAATGCTAGCCTTACTCACTCCTCTACTCATTTCTCTTACTCACCTTTGTAAATATAAAGCATAGTAAAGGTACCATAAACATAGTACGGATACTATATGTCATTTTAACAAAGGTGAGTAAGAGAAGTGAGTAAGGTGAGTGAGCAAGACTAGTATTTTTCCTTACCTTTTGCTTTAAATGGTTTAAGATTCGGTAAAGCACCTAATTGTTCCTTCTGCAATTTCTTTAATATCTGATTGCACTAGCCTTGTATATTGCACACCCTCTCACTACATTTTACGTTCAGAATACTCAAATGATCTAAACTATTAAAAGGAGTCTCTAAACTTATTTTATTTTCTCTGATATTGTTCAACAGCTTCTCTCACGTTCTTCTTTTCTGATGGTAAAGTGTTCAACAACATATCAACTTGAAATTATCAGCTTCTCATTGCAAAAGAACTTGTTAATCGGTACTTATTTTTTTAACAATCAAACCAATTTTTTTAAATGATTTTCTTGTTATGTTTAGCATTTCAAAGAGTCTGCTAGTTTTTTTTTTTTTGGGTAATCGAAGGTGTCCAGGTCAGCTTGCGTGCACCTCAATTAATCCTCTAAGACCCTGAAGTTGACAGTCGGGTAAATCCCAATGGCCACCCCTATTAGCAACCTAAATAGAACGAAATCAAGACTTCTTGAATAACACACCTAAAAGTCATAGTTGACCATTGTGCCACCCAGTGGTGGTTAGTGTGCTAGTTATTTTATAGATCAAATTTCATGTTTGTTTAACTCTTGACACACTTGTTACTGGGATTTACATTCCATGTCATATTCTGCAAAGTTAATCAATAATAAATACAACAGCCTATAAATAAAACTCACTCCTTAGAAAATCACATGATCCACTCATTACACTCTTCAAAAAAACCATGCAAACAAATGAAAGAATAAATTGAAACTAAGCAAAATTTAATTTGTGCATCTATAACTTGGGATTATTGTGGTGTTAAAACATATTCTATGTTGATTATTCATTCTAATAAAAGGTAATTATCAATAAGCCTGAAAAAAGCTGCTGTTAACTCCAGCTCTGTACAAATGTAACTCTTTTGATTCTGATGTTATGGTGAACTCCATGTATGCGGGCAAGAACAGAATATCTCCCTCTTCAACCATTTGTTCTTCTGGTACACTTGCACCAATTGTGCCATTCCCACTTATGAACAGCAATAGAGATGGCCCTGGCACTGAGGGAAACACCACTGATGCTGCCTCAGGAAGAATGCAACGATCCACTTCGAATTCTTCGAACGGTGGGAGATACCTTGTTGTGTATTGATTCAATGAGAGTCCCTGCAGAATTTCTGGAAAACCCTGCAATACAAATACTAAGCAAATTATACTCTTGAGGAGCCAAGGCAAATTTTGGTTAAGTTGAAGAAGGTATTACTTGTCGACGTTTTAGCATTGAGAGAAGTGTTTGGATATCCCGGTGTTTAGAAGTAAGGCCAGCGCGAACAACGTTGTCAGAAGTTGCCATACATTCTATGCATTCACCATAGATATAAGCATGAGGCTCATTTGCCCCTATGCACAATGCTTCGCCACGATTCAGCTTCACATAGTTCAGTAAAAATGCTGCTATGACTCCTGCATCAGCAGGATATTGACCCTCTAGTCTCAGCACCAACTTCTCTTTATCTGTCAACTGCCTTTTCTGATTCTGTGAAGCACATTAGAACATTGTAAAAGAATCAGCAGGTGAAATTTCTGGCGGCCAACAGTGTGAGAAGCTACCATTCACACAACCTAAATTTGATAGACTACATATGCAGGAATGTTTGTCAAGCCGAATTAAGATTGTGTTAGGATCCCACATTGAGAGGAAAAGGGGTGAACATGTGATTTATAAGGGCTTGAGTACTCTCCCCTAGCAAGCTGATTTTCCAAGAAGAGTTCTATCCAAACCCACAAAAGGAACATTACCCAACCTAATTCCTATCAAAGACCCTCTCCCAGCCCAATTCCTATCAATTTGGGAGTGGGTTCCTATCAGATTTCAACAACAAAATTTGAATTGAAAATTATAGAGTAGAGACATGATTTGAAGGTACCTTCTTCTCCAAATTCAGTCTCCATTTCAGTTTAGACAGACTCTGACAGATTTTATCTTTACTTGACAGCAGAATTTGACTGAAAATGGATTCGAGAACTGCTTCCAGTTCATGATTTTTGTCCATTTCATTGACAGGTAACCATTGTTCTGCATCTGCTCCCCCAACCAATTCTATAATCTCAGGAACTGTAAACAAGACATTCCTAAGATCCTGCAAACAATGAAGCAGTAAATACAGAATAATCAGCTTAATCACACAGAGCATCAGATTATTTAAGTACATAAAGATGATCCCTTCTGCAGCCTTTCAGTTCTTTATCTAAACGCCGTTAATCCCCTTCTTTTTTGGTTATTTTTGGACAAGTTTTTACAACAATAATCATTATCACTCAGCTTCAACTCCACAATCAATCACACGATAACAAATACAACAAGGAAATGCACAAAAACTGAGTATGATCCAAATTCATATGTCCACACTATGCAATAAGGAAAAATGCAGATTCATAGATTTTCCACCGAAGCTCCGAAAAATTTTATACTAAATTCAACACATTGATCTGAATTGAAGAAACTAAATAAATACTCATGATGATGATCAATCAATCTAAGATCAAATAGGGAACAAGACTATGTTACCTTGAGGCTAATAAAGCCACACAATGCCTCAAACTCAGTCAAGGCCAATGCCAATTCGGGCTTGTGATTATCATCCTTATACAAACTCGGCTGAGACTTATGAAGCGCCCTCGCCAATTCCTTATCGGGATGCGCCTGTATCGACAGTGCCTGATTGATCGAAAGCACCTAAAAAACTCAACCAAATCAAGATCAAACAATACCAAATCCTTTCATAATTCAGAGCCTAACTCTAACCAAACTCACCTTGAACAAAAACGGAAGCTCACCGCCCCATTTCTTCAACACCTGATCGCCCAACACATCAGGGTTCTTCGAGATCCACTCCTTGAGACTATTCAAACAACCAAACTGATCGTCCACAAACGAGGGTCCGGATTCATGAGTCCCGATCCACAACTCGGCATAACTCTCGTCCGGGTCAATGTGCGATCCGGAATTGAGAGAGAACAAGCGAGCGACGTACGATTTGTTACCGAGAATTCCCCAGTTGTAATTCTGAACTGAACATCTCAGTCTCAGGGGCTTGTTCAACACTCTTCTTCTCTTCTTCTCCAAGTTATGGTTTTGGATTTGGCTTTGCTCCATGTCTGCATAGTTACACGTACGGGTTCAAAGAGAAGGATATAACGATTCAAAACACAAACAGAAACAAGGGTTTGTTTTGAGGTTGTTACGTAAAGAACAACATTAAGAGAAATCTTGGAGAGATTTTGGGTTTGAAAGTTGTTTATCTGTTGAACAAAGAAATCTGTTTTTCCGGTTACGTACAACTGCTTACTGCACACCATACGGCACCTGGACTATATTAGGCTTCAACAGTTGTACCTTAGTAAAGGTTCCTCTAGTAACTACCTATTTTCTTTTTTTCCCTAATTTTTTTATATTCCGAATAACTAAATTCCTTTTATTTTTTGTTTGATTAACAAAATATTTTTTATTAATTTTTAATTAAATAATTAATTAATCTTGAGTAGAATAATTAATATTTTTTTTTTTTTTTTTGAAAAGTAAAAGTAAGATGCCCACAAAGAGTAGTGAATAAGTTTCATAGAATCTAAAAATTGAAGCAAAAGCAGATAATGGCGCCAGATTTATCATTTTAAATTTTGTATATATGATTTTGTTTTATTTTTATGTTACTTTAGCGGTGTTGTGCAGGAAATCTGGAGCGAATAGATCCCTTTTAACATGTAGATATCTCACGATATGGATCCCCTAATTAAAGCCAAAGATCAGGCAACTCCCCTTTTTATCGAATTAAAGTTAATCTCCAACTAAACCATGCAATTAGCACTATACAAACCCTCATTGTAATTTGTTCATGGGGATAAAGAAGAATAAGTCGTAGAAAACCAATTACAAACTCTCGGTAAATCAAACGATTGTTTCAACATATTCAATAATATAACAATGGACATAAGCCTTGCATTACGAGCAGCCAAACTACTTTAAATTTTTTTTTTTTTTTTTTTGTGTGTGTGTTATTTGTTTAATTATTGTTCATCATCTATAATCTCGAAATCATGAATCATAGTAAATTCCATCACAAATTTATGTACTTCTCGTTGGTATAAATCGCTACATCAAAAGCAGATTTTTGGTTGGTCACATACATTATTTTAATTGATTTTTTTTCCTCAAATTCTAATGCTTGTGCAAAGATTTGTGATTCATGCATCATCATATCATTAAACGTTAATTAATTTTTTATTTATCAAATAAATTCCTGACAAGTGTGCTAATACTATAGGTTTAGATCTTGAAATCTTGATCTAAATGAGGCCACAGGGGGTGCACTTGGAAGATACCAAGAACAATACTTAGATTCTTCTTAGAATTTAAAAAAAAAAAAAAAAAAGTATGGTAATCAAATGGGAAGAGAAGTTTAATGAATTAATTAATTGATTGATTTAATTGTAAATTAAAGTAGAAGGTGGACACAAGGCAAAACTGAGCTGTAAACAATGTCTTATATGTCACCTCTCCAAGAAATTCTCTTGAATAATTTGAGATTTAATATAATAATGATATTATTAATTTCAAGTTTCAATTGGATTTGATTGATACTAATTCCTGGGGATTTATAATATTGGATCCCTATATTTAGCAACTGATTTTAGTTAACAAATTGGTTATTATAAACCCTCTTAATCGAACTAATCACTTGTTAAAAGAGATTAATTAAAATTAATAACCTCAAATTAAAGGGTAGATGGTATTGATTTATCTTACATATTTAATTAATCTTATATAACATTATTTATATATTAGTTCAATAAAGTCAATTAAAATTTCCATTAAAAGTTAAATAATATAGTCGATATAATTTATTTATGTCATAAGCACCCCCTTAAGAACTCTCTATTATTACATAAGGATATAACACATTTCAATCATACGTGTTTTCATAAAATAATTTAGATCTTTAATCTTCAAAAACAAAAAATTTACACATAAATTTTATATTATAAGTTGTATTTGTCTCACATCGTCAATTTAGTGGATTGTTATGGTAGATATATATGGTTAAGCTCCCTTCTTGAGTTAGCTTTTGAAGGTAAGTCTATCTAAACTCATTTATCATAGTACACGCCCGCCCACAAATTAATCTTAAGCCCATTGGGTCGAGTTCAAAAATTAGTCCTAAGCCCATTGCGTTTGAAGGATGGCAATATACGAATGCAACTCATTTTAATCAAACGTGCTCCCTTTAAATTATATATCGAACTTATAATGTTTTCATATTGATATTATTATCTTCCTTATATAACATAAATCATTATAATGTTATCGGATTGATATCACAGTCGTCTTATGGATGAAGCCTAAGGGTTCGCTTGAGAGTTTCATGGTAGCGGTTGTAAGGGTAAACTATCGTAGCAGTTTTGAGGGTAGACCACCTTAGCGGTTTTGAGGGGTTTTTAATAGCAGTTTTTAAAACACTCAACCTGTGCTTGAGAGTTTATTTTCTAACGATTCTGATAGTTTTTTAAAATGATAAATTTACATATATGGTCATAAAAATACTTCAACTTCAACCAATACTTGGGAGTTTTGTTTTTTCAATTATAAGATAAGAATTCTTTATTTGTTTTCTACTTATTAATATTTTATAAAGTCTTCTTATCCTTCTTCGCCATTCTTTGCAGCATCTAAAATGATTGAAAAATTGTAGCTTTACTTCTACAAGAAAGCATCTAGAAATGAGATTTTAATAATTTTTTTTTTATGATTACTTCAAATTATTTTATATTTAATATGGTAGGAGACGCGCATAATATGATTAAATTTTTTTTTGGATATAATTGGGATAGTTTTGTAGTGTATAGGGTATTTGTAGAATAAAATTTTAAAACCAACCAAAACACTCCGATTTGAGGTGTTTTATAAACCCCTCAAAAATACAATACACTGGTTCTGGAGGGTTTTTTAGCCAATCAAAACCAGTGCATAAAAAACCTGATAAGTAATGGTTTTAGAATACTTTAAAACCAGTCTAATTAAAAATCCCTCAAAATCAGTGAAAAAAAAAAAACTTCCAAGGAGACCCTAAAATAGTATAAAATGGAACACCTGGCAGGAAGATCATGAGAAAGAGAGAGTGGACGGAGGCAAAAGGACATGGAGAAAATGGAAAGGAGAGGCACATGGAAGAAGCTCCATTCTGAATCTCAAAAGATTCATATTGAGATGAAGAGATGAGATGAGATGCCAAATAAATTAGAGACATAGAACATGTGACAAGGAATGAAAGCACCAAGACAGAGGGTTGTGTCATGTCTCTCTTCTGTTCTCTACTGGATCCCCTCCATCATTCATTTTTATTTTATTATATTTCTCCACGTTCCCCCATCTGTCATCTCCATTATCACCATTTTATATCTCAATGTTTCCTTTTAATTACTTCCAGATTAGTGTTTAATTACTCTCTAATCTTCCCCCATTTATTATGTCAACAGTAAGAACCATGATATGATTATATCTCTATGCAAAATAGATATGATTTTTAGCTAAGGCAATTGTTCTTATCACTATATGGACCCTACCTCTCGTACCACATAATTATTTCACCATATTATCAATAATTAACGTTTCATCTTCCTAATTAGACGCTAATTGATATATAATTTATATTAATTGTTGACATGGTCTANAGAGAGAGTGGACGGAGGCAAAAGGACATGGAGAAAATGGAAAAGGGAGGCACATGGAAGAAGCTCCATTCTGAATCTCAAAAGATTAATATTGAGATGAAGAGATGAGATGAGATGAGATGCCAAATGAATTAGAGACATAGAACATGTGACAAGGAATGAAAGCACCAAGACAGAGGGTTGTGTCATGTCTCTCTTCTGTTCTCTACTGGATCCCCTCCATCATTCATTTTTATTTTATTATATTTCTCCACGTTCCCCCATCTGTCATCTCCATTATCACCATTTTATATCTCAATGTTTCCTTTTAATTACTTCCAGATTAGTGTTTAATTACTCTCTAATCTTCCCCCATTTATTATGTCAACAGTAAGAACCATGATATGATTATATCTCTATGCAAAATAGATATGATTTTTAGCTAAGGCAATTGTTCTTATCACTATATGGACCCTACCTCTCGTACCACATAATTATTTCACCATATTATCAATAATTAACGTTGCATCTTCCTAATTAGACGCTAATTGATATATAATTTATATTAATTGTTGACATGGTCTAACAATTGAAAATAAATTAAACTACTCAACTTCTAATTCTTTAGATCTTACACGCACTCGACTAATCTTTCAGGGAAAATTATTGACAGCAATCTACTGTTGCAACCCTCCAAGTAAATCATAGACAAAAATACTATCTGTGAGTCCAAAAAAACTGGGATTGTAGATTGAAGCCGTGCACAAGTAAAAAAAACACAATTTTTTTTGGAAAAAATTATTCAAACCAATTTGTACATACCTTAACTAATCCCCGTAAATGACTCTATTTTCCATCCTTATAAGTATAGGTTTTCAATAACAAAACTCTCTTTCCTCTCTTGTCATAGATCTTTATATAAATCAATGAAAAATATTTAGAGAACATAAAAAAATCACTTTTTTATGAGTTTTCATGTTTTTTATCTCGTTTTTTAATAAATATTTATATGAGTACTATAAATCTAAAAAATTTAATATAATTAGAAGATTAAGGTCTCAATCACTCACTCTCACTCTCACTCTCACTCACTCTTTGGTTCCATTGTTAAAGTAAAAGAAAGAAAGTTTCCTTGGAAACCCACCTAGAGTTAGAGAAGATCCTTTTATAGCCTTTCGGTGCTTAATTTCAACTACTTTCATTCTCTTTTTTTTTTTTTTTTTTTTTTTTTTTTTTTTCTTTTCTGTTATCTTCCAGCAATTAATGGAATCTATCTCATCCTCAATCTCCACACCATACTTCAATATTCTTCCCATTTTTGTTGCCTCTTGCTCTCTCCTTACTCGACAATAAAGCTATACTTAAACCTAAACCTGCAGCTATTTCTGACAATTCCTTCTTTCTCATCATTTCCTTCTTTCTTTATATATTGCCCTTTTCCAGGGCCAACCTCTTTGTTTTTTCGAATTTTCTTTCCCGGCTTCAGGTTCTTTGGCTATGGCTATTGATGTTTGTTCGGAGATTTCTAGTCCTCGTATCTCATTTTCATATGATCTAAACCAGAAAGATCATGGAGTGTCACAGTTTGAGAGAAGATTGGATTCATCGCTTCTTGATTCGAGCTCTGATTTCGATTTCTGCATTGGCAATAGTAGGTTATACCAGGAGCTTTCTTCAGCTGATGAGCTTTTCTCCAATGGCAAGATTCTTCCTGTTGAAATCAAGAAGAAGAAACAAATCATTCTTTCTACAAAACAAATCCATCAACCACCACCACCACCATCTTCGTCACCCTCTCCTCATCCTCAGCAAATAATGGCCAATGAAAGTTGCACAGAAAAGAAGAGATTAAAAGAGTTCTTGTCAATGAGTCTAGATGATGCGGATGATGATGAATACGACAAGCCTCTGTATAAATCTTTCTGGCAATTCAAACGAAGCAGTAGTCTCAACTGCGATAGCACTCGAAGCAAGAGTTTAATCAAGTCTTTACAGTTCCTTTCGCGAAGTAATTCCACTGGTTCTGCTCCAAATCCAAAACATTCATCCATTTCAAAGGAATCCCAGAAGCAGAATTTACAAAGACAACCATCTGTTTCAAGGAAATCAAAAGTTTCAAGCTCTGGTTCTTACTATTCTTATTACAACAATTCTTCTTCAACCCAGAAGCCTCCTTTGAAGAAGAACTGTGGATCCTATAACAATGGCAACAATGGTGTCAGAATTAGTCCAGTTTTAAACATCCCTCCTCCTTACATTTCAAATGCCACCGTAAATCTCTTTGGCCTCGGTTCACTCTTCTGTAATGGCAAGATTAAAAAGAAGAAGAGATAGATTCTTCTCCATTATATGCAAAGCTTTTATTATTACCCTTCAGTCGTTTTACAGTACAGATGGATTTGGTTGTCACATGTGATAAGTTTATGTAAATTAATGAAGAAATTATTTACTAAAACAAAAACCCGATTAGATCTTATATTTAATAACTTCATTTTAAGAGTGAAAACTACAGTGGATATAGAGATGAATGAATGGTCATAATTTGAGCATATCAAGATGTTAAGGTGATAGGAGACAGGTAAACAAGAGCATCCATCTTTAATGGAGATCCCATGCTTGCTTTTATATGTTTTTTATCTTATTGGTATTACAATTTTTGGTATATTTGAACTGCTTTTTTCAAGAATGAACATAGTAAAGAGAATAATTTTATATAAAAAACTTTGATTTGGGGAATTGGGGTCCATTGATTTTGGTCTTTTTGTTGTATCTTGACTAGTTGCTGCAAGTTGTTATTGTGTTTTAGAAAAAGAAATTCAATGATCAAAAGGTTCTGTTAACTTTTTAGTTTGATAATTAATCTGATAATTCTATTGGCTTGGCTTGGCTTTCACAACCATTCTAGCAGCAAAACATGGCCCCATCTCACACTCATAGATCTGCAGATTCTTTACTGAAAAGAATATCATATTTGAACTACTTAAAAATCTAGTAAAATAAAAAATAAAAACACACACCCACATAAGATATTGTGACAAAAGCAAATATTCACTTGTAATGGAAGTGCTTTCAAACACTTCTTTAATTGCTTTAGTACTATCAAGACTTGGTTATTCTGATATGACTTTGAATAAAACATCCAAAATTTGATTCCTTGTTTCCACATATAATACTATTACACAAGAAGTTGCTTTCTCCATCATTTATTCTCAAAATATTATTCTATATTATTTAATTTCTTTTAAATCCCCTATAAATTTATTAATTTAATTAAATACCCCCAAATATTTTTTTTTTAAATTACAAAACACCCCAGCAACCCACATTTACTAGATTCCGGCTGTCTGTATTTAATGGGTGGGTTGGGGGTATTTTTATTAACTTTTAATATTTTATTATAGGGGTGTTTAGTAAATAAACAAATATAGAGGGTATTTTTGTTAATTTCCAAATCATTCATCGTAATACCCGTCCAATTTAACTTTTTTCAAAATATTATTCTAAAAACTATCCGAATAATGAACCAAACGGACCCTTAACCATTAGTATTATTATCTTGGCACGTTATTCCCAAAATATTAGTCTATTTTTTTTAATTATGTTGAGACCTTATAAGTTTATTAATTTCATTAAATACCCCCCAGAAAAAAAAGTTTAAAAACTAACAAAAACACCCCCACCCACCAATACCTGCCAGATTCCTGCAACCACTGCCGGTGATAGCCGAAATCTATCACAATAGTCACAAAGCCACCGGAAATAGCCGGTAATGGCCAAATCTGGCATTTTCCGGCCATATCCACAATGGATCTGGCTAGAAAAGGCCAGATCTGCCGTCAACGACGGCCATATCTTTGGCAGTCGCTGATGGCCAAACATGGCCGTCGTTTCAGCCTTTTTCGGTCGTCGCAGCCGAAGTAGTTCGTAGATCTGGCCTTTTTCGGCCAGATCCGTGGTGGATCTGGCCGGAAAAGGCCATAACAACGCGTTACGGCACAGATCCGACCGGTCTGTGTCGTAACGAAATTTTCCGGTCAGATTCCGATGGTGGTGGCCGGAATCTGGCACTGTAGGTGGTGAGGGTGTTTTTTTCATTTTATATATTAGGGTCTTTAATTAAATTAGTAAACCTAAGGGCTTTTTCATAAATTTTTAAAGTTTACCTCATAATATTCCCCTATCCATCAATCCAATATTATTCTCAAAATCCTACCCAAAATAATAAACCAAACGCACCCATAGATACCCAAAAAAAAAAAATAATAATAATAATGACTTGTTATCCAACCTTTTGAGAGAGAATGAAATATAAAACATAATCACAGTTTTTTTAAAGTATTATATACCACGTGGATTATCATTAACCCTTGCAACTATGATATACCTATTTGAGAGTATCATTTACCCTCCCTCATAGGTATATAATCCTGTCCGATTGTGAGTGCGTTTCAAAATTTCACTTTGTTTTATGGGTATAAATGATAAATATTTAAATTTATATGTTGTTAAGGTAACACAACCGACCTTAGCTCAGTTGGTAGAGCGGAGGACTGTAGTGGTTAAGCTGTTATCCTTAGGTCGCTGGTTCGAATCCGGCAGGTCGGAATTTTTTCTCAATTATTTTATTGTGTTCGGGTTCAAATCTTCATATTCGACTTGACCCATTTCCCCATATTGGCCTACCACAGCTTTGCCCGGCCTAATTTAGAGTTCTGCATTGAAATCACTCTTGTTATTGAAACCCCATTCTTTTAATAATTTATTATTAAAATTAACTTCATTTTTTTTTTCTTTACTAATACTTTCGACATTCCATATTTATCTTACAAACTCTAATTCTTATATCTTATTCAAATCATACTTAGAATTAAAAGATAATTTTATAAAGGAAGAAGATTGGCAAAAGATTAGTTTTTTTTTTTTTTTTCCATCAAAACCAATTTACGCACACATCGACTAATTTTCAATAAGAGTTATCCAACAATAATCCACTATTACGGTCTCCCAAGTAAATCATAGAGGAATGTATTATATTTACATCCAACAGAACCTAAGACTATGAGTTGAAACTATACATAATCTCCTTGGTTCATCCTTAACGTTGGACTACCAATAACTGGGTAAGTTTTTAATTGCTTCTCAGTTTTTTTTCCTTAATTCAAGTTACATCTTTTATGAAAAACTAGTTGAAAAAGGTAGAAATTTCATGTTAACAAATGTCGACCATAATTTTTATGTTATTTTATTTTACTTCTATTAATTGGGGCTACAGAACCACCTCAGGAATCAACTAAAAGGATCTTCTTAATAAATGGTATGGTACGCAGAAATGTGGAAACAAGAGTGTGTAGACGAATTCAAAGACATCAGCTTGAACAGTCAAACTCAAACAGCAGCCTTGGCGGCTGCTTATGTCAACATTTGAGGGCCTCAATACCAAGCCATCCAATTCCAACAAAGGTTTCAATCACTTCCCAGAAAGAAACATCCAACTAATACAGTCTTCCAGGTATTACCAAGCCATCCAATTCCAAGGCTATACATCATGATTGCAGCTCGACCGACTCCAACTTCAACGCCAACCAATTATAAGTTTCAACGTTACCTTTCTATTTCTTCAGTGGTCCAGCACAGCAAAAACAGAATAAACAAGAAAATTATGATGTAAGAATTTCAAGCATGCATGATTCCTAGCACGCTTCATGTAAGTTTAGAGACGATGAAATGAAAAGATAAGTCATAGGCTGGGACAACCTGAACTTGGACCCAACTCAGGGCTGGGAATGACCACATAGGCTCATTGAACCAACAAGCTGGATTCAGCTGAAATACGAAAAACCCAAAAAAAGTACAGGAACCGAGTGGCCCAGCCTGAGCCAGACGAGAGGATCACAGGCTGTGCCAGGCCTGACAAATGAAATCGAGTCTGTCCATCCCAATTTACACGCCTTGCACAAAACTTTGGCAACTGGAGAGGCAGTTTGTGACAAACGCCTTCTACTACTAGATTTATCAAGAGTAGAACTGTGGAAAGGAAAAAAAAGCACCTAAAACTGTGGAAAAAATAGAGTAAAGCTTTACAAAAAGTCGCAATTTCCACAATTGATGTGAAAGATAGAAAACACTAGCAATGCTCTATCCACTTTTCCATATAAGTTCAATGAATACTTACCATATAGGATTCTAATGATTTCAGTACTACTGATCAAAGAACAAGAGAAGTAGCTGCAATGTAGAGCAGCCTGTAGTTTCCTGTAAATGTGATGGCCGAAAAATCAGAGTACATTTCAGTAAAAATTCCAGGCAGAGAGGTGTTTAAAACGTGAAACTCCAGTTTTATGCAGAACTAGCAGCTGAGCATGTAAGCAATTTGTGAGTCGGCATGGATCAATAGTTAATAATAATGTGATGCTCATTAGTTCTCAGAGTAATCATAATCATCAAAACCAAGAAAACAACAAGTAGGTATAAGTCATCATCCCCACAGCACTGAGACTAGCTAATGGTTAGCCGAGTAAGTTAAACAAAGACTTGGACAATGGTTTATCAACAAGCAAAAGCTGATTCCGTATGAACCTGAGCATACATTAGTTCCCAAATTTTACTCATTCATAGCAGAAACAAGTTACCTTAGAAGATTTATGTAGCTGAGAATGTGGTTCAAGATTAATGCTTTCACTAACTCAAACACAATGAATAAAACCACAAAGTTGATGAAGATTTGATTCTTGACATCAAAGGCAACTAAGCAAGTGTATTTAAAAAATGAAGCTCGTACAATGCCATTCTCTTCCATCTAACAACATCCAACCATCCCCTTTCTTTATACACAATTATTATTTCGCTAATTAGAAAGAAACAATGAATGACGAATTAATAAACAAAATTAGCATTTCAGAGCAACTGAACTTGCACCACAAAGTTACCAGGAAATTCAACACTTGTATGAAATTCCCTCACAAAGATGGTGTGGTACTGTTGTTGTATACCACTAAATTAAGGTCACAAATCATCAGTATTCACCAATCAGAAGCCTCGAAACTACCATATGGATCCCCTTTTCCCATTGCTAACTCTGCATAAAGAATTAAGATTTGAACATTAACAGATTGAACAAAAAGCCCTTTTTGAAAATCACTTTTTAAAGTTTAAAAATTCAAAAGATTAACTTCCTTAGCGGCCCAAAATTTAAACTTTCCCTCATTTTCACACATTTTCTCAGCAAACAATCAAGCATTTACCTTTCCGTTATCAGCTAACTCCGGCACCTTATACGAATCAACCGTCACTTCTGTCAACCATAATCCCGGAAACAAATTCTGTAAACACAATCAAAGTTAACTTCTTATAATCAACAGAACAAAAAGTTCACGTTTTTATTGAAAATAAAAAAGGCCAGAGTTTCAAAAAATTAGAATAAACACACTTACATCCAATTGCTTCTGCACATTCCTGGGCCGCTTCTTGGGCCTCCTCGGCGGCCGATGACCAACCAACTCCATAAAATCTTCTTCGATCTCCTTCCTCGTCAAATTCACTGCGAATTTCACTCTCTCTTTCTTGACCTCCTTCAACCTCGGCGACTTGGCGCCAACAGCGTCACTTCCAATCGGCGATGAATTAGACTTTTTCTCCTCGATTCTAAATCCCTTACCCGCTGCCGCTCCACCAATCGGCGGCGCTTTACACGCAGCACGCCGAGTGCGAAGATTCCACGGAGCCGCCACCACAACAGCAGCCGCAGCAGGAGACGATTCTTCCTCCTCATCCTCCAACTCCACCTCCTCTCTCAATATCTTATCTTTCATCTTATCCGCCGCCGTTTTGAGATCGTTGATAATCTTCTCCCTCACCGCATCGATCCCTTCCTCTTCCGATTCCTTCCTCAACTTGGAGGACGGCGGCGATCGCCTACGCGGTCGTTCATTTAACAACGTCGTTGTGGTAGTCGACGAATCCTCGAGTTTCATGCATCTAAGATGCCGCTGGTGACCCCACTTGAGGTATGGTAACGTGAAGTTATGAAGTGGTTTTGATGATGATCTCTCGTGACTGCTCATCGCCATCGACATCGACAACTCCTCCTCTTTCGTGTTCTCTCTCGCCCTCTCTCTCACGCAAAACACCATCCAAATTTCGCGTCTTTTAAAATCGTTTTCTCAAAGTGTTTTCTTTTTTGTTTTTGTTTTGTGGAATCGCCGGGAAGCCAAGGTTTATATATGAATGAATGAGAAACATGACTCTGCGTGAGGGAAAGAGAGCGGTTTTAACGTTCGGATGGGCGCTTTGGTAATTTTGGCCAGTTTGTATTAGGATCAAGACTAATGTGCGCCGTGGGTGTTGCGTTTGAACAAGGAAATGGGGTTTCCCGGGTGATACGTCGTTTTCGATTAATGTTCATGAATCTACCGTCTGATCAAGAGGAAGGGTGGGTCCCGTTTGGAATCTTTTCTTCTGACGGTTTTGATTTAAAATCTTGTTCTTTAATTGATGTATGAAAGTGATGACAATTGAGGGGAGAAATGTGGATTAGAAGAGTTGAACAAGTCATCATTAATAAAATAAAACAAAAAACATAAAATTAATAAAGTCTTATAAGTTTATAACCTAAACTTTCTATACAAAATTATATTCAAAATCTTTTTTTGTTTTTTTTCGCATAATCATATAAATTTTATAATTAAAGTGGGAGATTTTTTTTTTTTTTTTTTTTGACCTGAATGTCCGAGTCCAGTTTTTCACGCCTCAACTAATTCTCTGAAATCTCATGTGAAGTTAACGACCATTAATCCCCCAGGACCCTGAAGTTAATGATCATGTATATCATTCAAGCTCCAATGGTCATCCCTATTAAAAATTGAGGTAACTCGAACTCAAAACCTCTTGCATAATACACACAAGAGTCATTGTCCAACTACTCAATCACCCAAGAGTAGTTGAGATTTTTAATTTCTAAAACTTTCAGAATAAATAATTTAAAAAGTATATATATATACACATCAAAGACTTTGAATTCGGGTTTGAGAATGATATTTGTAAATGTTTTCAATTGAAAATTCTTCTGTAAATTGATATGGACCAAATAGGTATTTAAATATTAGATAAAAAATAAAACCCAAGAATTTGAATTAAATCCTAATTTCTAAAAGTAAATGTTGAAATTTATCCAAAAATTTTAAATAAATATTGATGTTGTTTAATTAAGATTAAATTTAGAAATTAAGAACTTTGAATTGCAAATTTAATTCTCCATTGAAATGTGTCTAGGCCAGTCTAAATAACTCATCATAATGGCTATAGTCTTGATCCAACCCTAATGGTTAATAGCCTAATGGTTAATTTCATAATTTTTTATTAATTAATTTCCATTTTTGCTCCAAATGAATAAAAATGGTATAGTTATTTTATAATTATATCATTGAAATGTTGTTTAAAACAATCAAATTTAGAGTAATACTACACCCACAACCTCTTCTCATAAACTTTCTTTTATAATCTCGATGTGACAACTCGTAATTAGTCAACCGTAATTTATCAAGTGGAACCTATTACAAGTTGAGTAATTACGAACTGCTATGTGGAGATTTTGAAAGGAAGTTTGTGAGAAGAGATTGTGAGTGTAACATAGCAATGTAATTAAAAAAATTTTTAAAGTATTTTTAATAAAATAAATTATTATTTTTTGGGTTTCTTTAATTATAATAAATCATTATTCTCATCATTTTTGGGTGTGTTTGTTTCCATAAATTATTATTTGTCATTTTTTAAGGAGAGGTTATAGGATGGGGTCATGTCCACTTTAACGGTGGCGTTTACTTGAAGCAAATTGACAATGGGTGATGGCTTGGCTTCTAGTCAATGAAGTTTGGTTTATTGAACAAGTCACCTGTCGGTATGGCCAAAAGACTCCTACGTATAACAGATGCCATGTTTGGCTCTTTATATAAGTTAGAAGAAAAAGGAAAAAGGAAAAAGGTAAAATTTATCTATCTATGGGATTTATTTCTATCATGGAGATTATCGACCTAAACCCTTAAATGAAAAATATTCCTTAACGAGAGAGTTTTTATAATAAATTTTAACAAGTTTTTAAAAGATATAGTTGTTAGGAGATCGCGCAACGGAAAACATACTTTTAAGATAAATAACATAGAAATAAAATCATACCATATAAAGAGACACGATATTTACATGGTTCAGCATAGCTTGCTTACATCCACGGATGAGAGAAATTCACTATAATTTCATGGACATGATATATAAGAGTACACAATACCATAAACCCAGTATATAAAACAGAGCAGAAACATCATAGTTTCAAACCACGCTCAACATAATACCTAGAGTGGAAACAATTATAGTTTCTAAGACACTCTCTCCATTGTGTTTAATAACTCTTACATCAAATGCCATGTGTTCTCACATTCTTTCATTCTCTCATAACCTTGAATTGATTCTCAACCTTATATTTATAGGTAGAATATGAGATATTCTTTTCTTAATAGGACTCATAAATTATATTCCTATTTACAATTTTATTCTTTATTAAATAGTTTTCCTAAAGACATACAATTTCACATGAGAGCAAATAACAAAACGAGCCACAAATATCCCAACAATAGTAACATATGGATCGAAAAAAGATAAAATAGTAATCCTACCTAATTCGGAAACCCTTGAGTGAAAGCATTTTTTTTGATCTCATGTAATATGAACGAAGACAAACAAAAGTATGGAATATGCATGTTTTAAAACTCGTTCTGGCCTGGTCAATTGAACCGATTCAACCGGGAATCAGTGGCTAGACTGGGTCGGTTAATGTTAAAAATCGAAAATAGGAATGGACCCACTTCCACCTGCGGTTGGACCGGTGGTTTGAACAAGTTTTTTTCCAATGAACCATCAGTCCAACCGGTATAACCCAGGTTACTACAGTAAAATATTTAAAAAATAATAAAATTAAAAGTAACCATTTTCAACTTTTCTCTTGTCAGGTTGCCTCCCCGGGTCGAGTTTTAAAACCTTGGGAATATGTGTGTGTTGGGAGGAATTATCATCAACAGATCAACTTAGTTCATTAATTAACTCTTTAGTTATTTAATTAATTAATTGATTGAGCGATATCTTCAACAACCCGTCAAGGCATCTTATAAATGCTAATTAATTGAAAGAGCCACACAAAATATAGATGATTTAGAGAATGTGTAAAGATAAAGCAAAATAAATTAAACCCCACATCAATATAAATATGAATATATTACACTAGATCAATAATCAAGAATTTGTATGAAAATTTTACGTAAAAAATCTGTATTATAATAGCTTATATCCTAATTAACATTGCCATTTATAGATAATTAAAAATCTATGTAATTCATAAAATAAGACTATAATTAAATGATTAATGGGATATTATGTAAAATTGACTCTATAATTGTATATATGACCATGGCTAATTCAAGATATTTCTCAACATAACTAGATTGTTCATGTTAAAACTGGTGACCACTTCAATAATAAGGGGTTCGCTTATAAGGGACAACGCACACGAGGTCTCGCTCCCTAGTGAATGGGCAGGAAATCGTAAGCAGTTTACGGTTAATACCATGAATAACCATAGTAGAATTCTCTAAAGAATATGACAAATAATAAGGTTTGGTTTAGGTATATGAATCATAATGATTTTAGGTTTCTCTCCTAAAACATAATATATAAACACATTATTCTTTTGAATAAATGATATAGAAAAATATAATAAATATATTCATTATAATGAGAGAGATGATTAAATATTGCAATAATATTGATTCTGCTAGATATCACCGAGTTTTAGGAAATTAAGATAAATCACGTGTGTTTCTTTCTCTTTACTAGTTGCGTTATTTATGTGATTAGTTTTAATTTGATTTCAAACGGATTTTATTAGTTCTTGAAGTTCAATCATTTTTTATTCTTCAAGTTCAATCATTTTCAAAGCTACCAATTATTTTATAATAAACTAAATTAAAAAAAAAAAAAAAAAAAAATTGAAAACTGAAAACGGAAAAGCTTCTGTGCGTTGATCCGATCTTATAGAAATAAAATATTCATCTCAAATTGATACGTGGTGGCCATGAGGTCTTTAGGTCTATTCTTTTATATATTACACTTTTTTTTATTTACTTTCAAATTCGATCAAATACAATATAGATCAAATCATATTGTATCGACCACATACAGTATAGTTTAATATCACATTCATATTGAATCGTGTTTGCGTAATTTAATAAACTAGTCTTGGTCTATTGCATCTATTAAACTAAATAACAAAGTAGTAACAATAGTAATGAATGGTTAATAAAAATTAACCACTTTTAAGTAGTTTGACGATTCGATTAGGGTTTTTCGATATATTACTCAAGATGTCCTGAGTTCGAATCCCTATAATTATTAATAAAGAGTAACTACGGGAGGTTTACCTTACTGTTAACTTCAGAATCCGAAAGTTTTGCTAATAATAATTAGATCCATTTCGATATCAGCTTGTAATAGAAAGGAATATAATAAAGATTATTTCAAGAGCAGATAAATTATTATTTCAGATATGTAAACACGTAAATTTATTGAAACCTATTTAAATTAAATAGATAAATAAAAGAAATGAGTCAAAGTAAAAAGTTCAAACTTGAAAAGGTAGAGGGAAAGTTAGGGTTTCAACGGCTACTTGCCGATTCCTTCATAGTAAGTACAAAAGGCAACCGACCATACGCCTTTTACAGCTTGGCTCCTCCATGGCTGTCCACCACCAATCGCATACTTCATCTCTTTCACTCACCTTTTCATTTCCTTTAAAACCTTCACTTCAATCGAAGCCCAAACTACTTAACTAACTTCTTCTTTTCACTGCCTCAAAAAAAAAAAAAAATGCAGAGAAAGAGACTAACCATTTTGAAGAAGGTCTCAAATCTTCTCAAAACCTCCATTTTCGTTGCCAAAATGAGGAAGCCCATCACCGCAAAGCTTGTTTTCCTCAAGAAGACGAGAAAGCTTAAGAGGTTTAAGCTTCTCAGGCATTACAACAATCACTTTCTTGAAGAGTACGAGTTCTCATCAGCTTCAAGCACGCCTCTTATTCATTACCAGAAGAAACACTTCTTGAAGAACTCAAGCAACGGCGGCGGCCGCCTTGCAGATGTATACTCCATGTTGTCTCTGTGTAGATGTTTTGGAATTGGAGGCTTGAAAAGTGAAGGTGTTGATTACTCCTTGGCAATGGAAACTCTGCCTGCAATTACAAGGGATCAGTTTGTGGAGCCTGCAGTAAGAGTAATGGAGTTGGATGACAATGTAAAAGAAGAAGAAGACTCAGTCGATCAGAGAGCCGAGCGGTTCATTCAATGGTTCTATCAAGAGATGAGAATGCAGAGACATGATGCAGCTTAATTACCTCTTATTCATTTATTAATTATTTGGTTCTACTTCTCCACAGGATTTTTAGAGATGGTGGAGAAGTTATAATTTTTTTGGTATTTTCATTTGTTAAGTGTGTGACCTGTGAGCAATTGTTGTTGTTTGAATTTGTGTTATTTCAATGAAACATTCAATTATATTTCTTGGTTTAATTTTGATATTAGAATTGTGAGGAATTCAAGTGGGATTAATCATATTTCATGGAAGTCCTCGTAGATCTTGCGCAGGAAGAAGCTGCATTGGCAAGGCAAAAATGGAGGACTCTCTCAATTCACAGCAAGTGTTTTAAGGATCCCTTTGTGGAGGAAGAAGCTACCATAATAAAAGCATGATTCGCTTAAAGCAAGGGGATATCTATTATCAAAAGAAATGATCGAGCTAAATCGATGAAAATAAAAGATTCATCACTTATAATATCTGAATTAATATCAACCCTGAAAAGAAAGCATTGTGCTAAGTTCGTTGACAATCCTTCCACTATTAACTATCGGTTCAGGGAGTGATCAGGTTAGGTAGACCAAAGTAGAGAAAGTTGGATGAAATTTAGATGAAAGTATAAAATTACATTTTTGGAGTTCATCGTGATCCAAAAAAGTACAAATATCCATATAATTTGAAAGGACGACAGTTATGCTTAAAATTATAGTAACATTGGTGCTTAAAAACTCGCCCTAAAATTTAGGGCAAATTAGGCCTGTGGTCGGGTGACAAAACTTCACCTATTTGGATAATTCATCTGAAGGTTTTATGTTCACTTCGGTCCGCCGAGGTTTGTCGTTTGCGTTTCATTTCGTCTTCACTTCGGTCTTCGGCATCTTCAGTTCCTCACTCATTTCTTCGATCGAAGCTACGTTGTGCTGAATCCGTCCGCTGAGGTTTGCCCTACAGCTGCAGACTTTATAACTTCTTAGACTTTTTCTGCTTCTGTGTTTACTGTTTTATTCTCTGTCACTGCAAATCTGAATTTTTGGGCTTGAAGCCGTACAATATTACAATGTCTCAACTTAATTATAAGGGAATCTACACTGAATATATTTAAGATTATCTAAAGAAGAAGGCATGGTTCTTATGTCAGGCAAAGAGAGGCTGCTTTCATTGTGTTTATGGTGTATGTTTGGTGGTTTTGAAGTTTGGAAGAAGCAGATTGGATTTGTGTGCAAATTGTTTTGGCATTTGGAGGGTAAAGAGTTTCGTTTGTTTAGTAGTTGATGGGTTGATAAAGAGGGGTTTTTGATTTGTTTTTTCTTTTACAAATAGAAATGGTAATGCAAAAAGATAAAATATTTAAATGAAGAGAGAGATGTTGATGTTCTTCACCAGACTAATTATAAGTTGTTATCTCTCTGTTAACGAAATTCGAAAAAAGCTGGAATTTTTATGCATTCTGACGTCATTATGCTGTCACCGATCCAACTATCGATTGGACTGGTCAACCTGGGATCCGGTCACCTGACTGGGTCAGTGGTGGGGTTAGTTATGAAAACATTGCTCAATATCTTGACTTGACATTAAATTTTATCTTATATTTATTTGTGTGGTATCTACACTCTTGAATGGTTTTGAAGGTCATTTCTTCAACAGTGACATCATAACTTCAATGGGTTCAAATCTCCGAATATGTGAACGCAAACAGGTTTGATTATTCAATTAACGTTTCATTGATTATAAAGTATAATTTTAGTGAAATGAGTGTCTTGATTAGTTTTTTCTTTTGATGTAAATAGTCTTTGTTTGTTAATTTATTGACTTTTTTTTTTTAAAAACAATTAAAAATAAAAAAATATAGGTATTGAAAAAGGTTTAGATGCACGTCTATGGGCTAGCGTGATCCGCTACTCTATGGCCCATCTTTTGTTCATGAGCCATCTAGACCCAAATCGGTCTGACTATTGAACGCGAACGGTCGAGATTTCCTATTTACCATAGACTCGGTAGCAGAGTATCCTTTGTACGCGTTGTTGTGACGCTCTTTGAATGAGTTAATGACATCGTTGTCCCTGAGGTTTGAAAAAAGTTTTAACCGAGTCTAGTAAAATCCGAAAATGAGAGTGTAGTCTCTGTCAGAAGAGAGCCGTTAAATCTCATTAAACGGCTTAAGAGCACTTTTGTCTTTCCAAATTCCAAGTGGTAGCTTATAATTTTTAAAAATTTATATAGCAGTAAAATTGAAAATACTGAAATAAAATTTAAAAAAGAGTAAACGACATATTCCCACCCAAGGTTTGACGAAAGCCTAGTTGATACATCTGGTTTCATTATTCTAGATTCTCACCCATAAAATAACACTATTAGCAATTTTTAGCTTAAAGAGGATGCTATTATCATAATACCCTTAACAAATAAATTATAAATTACATTTTAACCCTTAAATTACTAAAATTATAAATTAATCATCTTATTTTCAAATTACTTCAATAAAACCTTCGGTGATTGTGCACCGTATTGGTTTTTGTCGAATCTGGGCTGTTTGCGACAGCATTGAACCCCCTGATTACCTCCATCACCTTTCCCATCGTTCGTCGTTCAAAACCCCTTTGGTTCCCGACTCATTGGCCCCTCCGATCGCTGGCGCCGTAAGGCTTAGGGTTTCATTGTTCTTCCCTGGATTCCGATGACGAAAATTCAATTGGACATCACCACTACAACTAGCGTCTCCAACTCTACAAAACTCCTATGTCCCTAGCAGCTGTTTAGTTGCCGTTTGTCGGTCAAGACCGACAAAACCAGTCGCATGTAGCGGCTGTCGTGGCTAGCGATCGGCGTGTGATGAGGGGTTGTGAATGGTAAGGTTTTGTAAAGGGGAGGTGAATATTAAATAGTGGTGACAAAGGTGATTTTTTGTGGAAGAATCGCTTGAAACGGGCGAAAAACATTGGGGAGACGTCGGCAAATGTGTGCCGGAGCACTGTTAGGGGCAGCAATCTGCTAATGTGTGCCTCCTCGTACAAAATGACCAATTTACCCCTTAACCGTTATATCCAATAATTTTTCATCACTTTAAGGGTGGAAATCTGGAATAAATAGAAAAAGGGATACCAACTTAGGATTTCATTAAATCTCGGGTGGGAATGTGTCATTTACTCTTTTAAAAACCCTAAACATGTACAAAGTACAAACCCCCACAACCTCCCGCACCTCCTCACTCCCGTTACAACCACCGGCGTCTTGTAAGCCACCTACTGTAACGCCCCACTTGAGGTACGTAGTTATTGTTCCTTCTTTTGCTCTTATTTGAGTTGGTCTCTTGGTAATATTATTTGGTTGACCTTTGTTGAGTGTTGTGTTGAATGCTTGCCCTGAAATTGGTTGAAAATAGAAGAAGTTTAGTGTGCCAAGCTTCGCCGGGGCGAAGAAGAATCTTCGCCGCGGCGAAGAGGTGTTGAATCCACGGGGAAATGTTTTGGACAGTTTCGCCGCGGCGACAGAAGCTTCCTCGCCGCGGCGACAGTCCGACCAAAAAGTTTGTTAAGTTTTAGATATTCTCTTCCCTAAGGGCAATTTGACCATTCTACCCCTAATTAGCAGGAAAAGTGGGGAGTAAAATGTAAGGAAATTTCAAGCAGAATATGTTAGTATGGGGGTGTGTTAGTAAGGAATCAAAGGATATGGATGGAATTTCCATGANTTAAACGGCTTAAGAGCACTTTTGTCTTTCCAAATTCCAAGTGGTAGCTTATAATTTTTAAAAATTTATATAGAAGTAAAATTGAAAATACTGAAATAAAATTTAAAAAAGAGTAAACGACGTATTCCCACCCAAGGTTTGACGAAAGCCTAAGTTGGTACATCTGGTTTTATTTATTCTAAATTTCCACCCTTAAAATAACACTGTTAGCAATTTTAGATTAAAGAGGGTGCTATTACCGTAATGCTCTTAACAAATAAATTAATCAATTACATTTTAACCCTTGAATTACTAAAATTATAAAATGAATTATCTTATTTTCAAATTACTTCAATAACACCCTTGGTGATTGCGCATCCTCTCGGTTTTTGTTAGATTTGGGCTGTTTTCGACAGCGTTGAACCCCCTGGTTACCTCCATCACCTTCCCCATCATTTGTCGTTCAAAACTCCACTGCTCCCGACTCATTGGCCCTTCCGATCACTGGTGCCGTAAGGCTTAGGGTTTCACTATTCTTCATTGGATTCCAGTCGATTCCGACGACAAAAATCCAATTGGACATCACCACTACAACTAACATCTCCAACTCTACAAAACCCCTATGTCCCCAGCAACCGTTTAGTTGTCATTTGCCGGTCGAGACCGACAAAAACCAATCGCATGTCGCGGCTGTCGTGGTTGGCGATCGACATGTGATGAGGGGTTGTGAATGGTAAGGTTTTGTAAAGGGGAGGTGAAGATTCAAATGGTGGTGACAAGGGTGATTTTTGGTGGAAGAATCATCAGAAAAGGGCAAAAAACATTGGGGCGACGTCGGCTAACGTGCACCGAAGCACTGTTAGGGGCGACGATCTGCTAATATGTGCCTTCTCCTGCAAAATAACCAATTTACCCCTTAATCGTTGTATCCAACAATTTTTCGTCACTTTAAGGATGGAAATCTAGAATAAATGGAATCAGGGGTACCAATTTAGGATTTCATTAAACCTTGGGTGAGAATATGTCGTTTACTCTTTAAAAAACTCTAAACATGTACAAGGTACAAACCCCCACAACCTCCCACGCCTGCTCACTCTCGCTACACCCACCGGCGTCTTGTAAGCCACCTACCATCTTCGTTGCCCAACCCCACTCCAATGGACTAACGATTAGATTATGAGTAATGCTAGCCTTACTCACTCTCTTACTCACCTTTGTAAATATAAAGCATAGTAAGAATACCTTAAGTATAGTACGGGTACCATATTCATTTTAATAAAGGTGAAAAAAAAATGAGTAAAAGGAGTGAGTAAGACTAGCATTTTTCTTAGATTATCAACAGGTGGTTTTTTTTTTTTTTTTTTTTTTTTGTTTCTATAGAATTTGGATTTATATGTTTGTGTTTACGGGTTTCTTTGTCTTTGTTTCGGCAAATTGGTTTTGTTGATTTGGAATTTTTCTATTTCTTTGTTGGATTATTGTCATTGTAGAGTTTTTGGTGATACTCTACATGTTCAGTATTTTTAGATTTTATTTCATGTTTAATAATTATAATTTTATCTTGAAAATAAATATTAGATTAAATAAGTTTAAAAAGAAAATTGCAATAAATAGGAGGATATTACTGTCTTTTAATGACAAAAGCGGAGTAATACTAACATATAGGTAAACGGGCCCTCGTCTGAGAGGGACTATAGTGACATTTTCTGATTTTACAGGACTCACAAGAGTTTTCTCAAATTGCAGGGATGAAAGAGTCATTAACTCCACTCTGAATCTCTAAAAGAGAAGTTTCTTAGGTTTAGGGTTCCTCCAAATCCAGACGGCGATAAGGGAGAGGGAGGAAGCCGCGTCGTTTCAACAATGGAGCTGAAAGTATACAATTCGATGACGCAACAGAAGGAGGTCTTCGAGCCGAAAACCCCCGGAAAAGTGGGCATGTATGTCTGTGGGGTCACGGCGTACGACCTGAGTCACCTGGGCCACGCTCGTGCCGCCGTCTCCTTCGACATTCTCTACAGGTATTGCTTCATTAAATAAATTGTCGATCACGTTATTTTAAATTTTGCATTTTTTTAGCTGGACTGAGAGAAGAAAAATTCTGGTCGATTTTATCATGAAAAAGGTCTGAGCAGCCTTGACTGCAATTGAATACTGAATTAAGTTATATTTATTGCAATACCACCTTTTGGGTCATTCATTTGCGTTTTATTTAGTTTATTATGTAATTGATTTCTCTAAAGGAGCTCAATGTGTCTAAACCTTATGATGCCTCTTTTTCTTTTTTCTTTCTTCTCTTCTCCCACATATTTGAACTTTTCATAAGGATTTAGCATTGTTATGAGATATGTCATCTTGATTGATTTGTGTTGAAACTCTGTAGATACCTACAACACTTAGGCTATGAAGTTACTTATGTTCGGAACTTCACAGACGTAGATGACAAGGTAAGAATTTCCATTTTCTATCAAGGAATGGATGAGTTGGTAGTTTACTATGGTTTTAAACTGTGATTTCAAATTGCAATAATTCTACTTTAATAGACATTGCATGGAAATATTCCATTAGATTTTCAATTGATTTGTGGTTGAAAAGTAATTTTTATGTTAATAGCTTGTGGAATTTTTGTTGGTATTTTTGTGAGAACGAGGAAATTATATTACACGTGAAAAAATCAGTTCTGTTATTTAGTAAACTTAAAAACCAGTCATGGTAATCTGCATTGATTATTTAATTTTTATGAATTTCCTAAAAAGAAATAATGAAATTCTTAGATGGGAGATGTGATGGTTTTGTTAGTCTACCAGTCACCCATTTCAACAATTAATTGAGATCCTTTTTTGTTATAATTTTGATGCCGCCCTAGTGGGTACTTTTACATTTTTGCTGCTTTAATTTTAGAAAGGAGCAGGCTATAATGATGTTCTTTTGGCTATAATAGTCTGTGGATTCTTTCAGATAATTCGTCGTGCAAATGAGCTTGGAGAAAATCCTCTAAGTTTAAGTGATCGATATTGCCAAGAATATCTTGTTGACATGGCTGATCTACAGTGCCTCCCTCCTACCCATCAGCCACGAGTGTCCGATCATATGGAACAGATCAAGGATATGATAACTCAGGTTTTGCTCTTTACATAATTGTCTTTTCTCTATCATACATATTTGGATAATTGCTATATAACATTTGTTTAATCGGTGTTCTTCGTGTTGTGTTAATTATGGTTGTACAATGCAATTCAGATGCACCCTCCCCTCTTCTTAGACCAACATAATGGTTATCGCATAGATAATATCGGCTGCTGTTTATTTATTCTATTTTTATAGGGAGATTCTCGTGTAATTTGGGGTCTAAATCATTAGTTACAAAAGAAACATTTCTCTCAATTCACATATGGCGAAAATGAAGAAGAGTAAAACAGAGGGGTTAATCATGTAAATTGTGCCTGGTTTACAAGGAGCCACAAATAAATTGAGGTTTTTTTTTTTGGCATTTAATGATATGAATCATATTACATAAGACAAATTTTACAATTGGAAAGATTTATTCACATGGCTTTGTTTTCTTAACTTAAGTTGGAAAGGGTTTTGTTTTACCTTGAACCTGTACAAAGCCTACTTTTCACATAAATTAGGAAAGCTGCATATTGGAAATAGGGAGGCTACAAGTTTGAATAGGGAGACTTCTCAACATACTTTTGGTTCAGATTTATATTTCATTATTAGCTTTTATTTAAAGTATGTCTCTATGAATTCTAAGATTATGGACTGATGAAACATGTATTTAATAATTAATTTTAAGTTATAATTTGATTCTTCGTGGATCTGTGATTAAAGTTTATAGTTCTTGCTTTCTTATTCATTAAATAAATTTATTTCATCTTAAATGTCTAGTAATTTTTATAGTTAAAATTATTTAACTAATTAAATCCTACTTATATATTTGTTTAATTTACAATATGAACATAAGGTAAATAGGCTCTAAGCATTACATGTACACCTAGTATCTCCTACATCAGTCTCTTTGTGTGTGTGATTTTTCCTTCTTTTCGTAGAACTATATACAATGTATTTAGTTAATTCAGATGTGGCATAATTTCCTTAACTGTGTTAAGTCAAGCACATGCTGTTGCTTGCATGAAGGTCTTTATTCCTTTAATGGAACCTTTTGCTTCTTCTGGATGATATTGTTGTTTGTGGTAATGGGTCATGCCGGTCCGTCTTTTACGATTTTTTGATTTCTTGACATGTAATTCACTTGTATTTTGCAGATTATCAACAATGACTGCGCATATGTGGTTGAGGGAGATGTGTTCTTTGCTGTTGATAAATCTACAAATTATGGTCAGTTATCTGGACAAAAGCTTGAACACAATAGAGCTGGTGAGCGTGTAGCTGTTGACTCTAGAAAGCGTAATCCTGCCGACTTTGCACTTTGGAAGGTGGGAAACCTTCTCGAGCTAACTTCACTTTTGTAATCTTGTCATCAGCACTCATAAACTTTTTGTTTATATCTTTGCAGGCTGCAAAGCCTGGTGAACCAAGTTGGGACAGCCCTTGGGGTCCTGGAAGACCAGGGTGGCACATAGAATGCAGTGCCATGAGTGCTCATTATCTGACCTTCAAGTTTGATATACATGGTGGTGGAATCGATTTGATTTTTCCGCATCATGAAAATGAGATTGCCCAGAGTTGTGCTGCATGCCAAGAGAGTAGTGTGGGCTACTGGATGCATAATGGGCATGTAACTAATAACAATGAGAAAATGTCAAAATCATTGGGCAATTTTTTCACAATTCGCCAGGTGAAATGGGGTTGAATTGAAGTCTGCATAGCTGTTTCTTCTTAAGTAGCCACAGTTTAATGCTAGTATTTGTGTTTGAAAATAACCCATCGAATTCTTGTAGATCACTGAGCGATACCATCCACTGGCATTGAGACACTTCTTAATAAGTGCACACTATCGATCTCCTCTCAATTACACAGTCTTGCAGTTGGAAAGTTCATCTGATGCGGTTTTTTATATATATCAGGTTGGAAACTTATCTGACTTTTCAAAAACTTTTATGGATGATTTGTCCAGTTCTGCTGGCTTGTCAAAGTGATTGCACTCGTTAGAGATCCTGAGAGTTGAAGACATTTTTATTTTCTATCTTATATCTTGCAAGCAAATTTCTTATTTTATTTCTTTGTTTAACTAGAGTGGGTTGTGCGTGCTTGGTAATAATTTAATATGTTCAAATGTTCTGTATTAGACATTGCTAGATTGTGAAGTTGCTTTATCATCAGCTCAAGAAGGAAGCCTCAAAGATGAAATAGAAAAGAAAGGTGGCAAAGTAGCCCCGATTACTAAATCTGCTGAAGACTGCATCAGTAAGCTACGTAGTGAATTCCAGACTAGAATGTCGGATGACTTGAATACATCACCTATATTGACTGGTGCCTTCCAAGATGCCTTGAAATTCATAAATAGTTCTTTGAACTTGTTGAAGGTACTTGTCTGAAACCTGTTTTGACATGCCTCTTTTTTCAGAAATCAATCAATTTGCTTGGTCTGTGGAATAACAAGAAAATGTTCTTTTGACCCAATTTTTGGTTGATAATTTCCAGAAGAAGCAACCCAAAAAACAACAGTTATCCATGTTTCAGTCCCTTGTTGAAGTGGAGAGAGAGGTCAAGGATGTCCTTGGTATTCTGGGATTGCTGCCGCCAGGAACTTACTCTGAGGTGAAGAGTCCTTTGTGATGTTTTTTATAATTTCCTTGATGATGCATAAATTTTATTTTGGTTAAGATTTTTGACAACAAAGATGGTTCTACTTAGTAGGTTTTAGAGCAGTTAAAAGAGAAGGCATTGAAGAGAGCGGGATTAGTGGAAGATGATGTCTTACGTCTGATTGAGGAAAGAGTGACTGCTAGGAAAAATAAAGAGTTCTCTAAGAGTGATCAGATCAGGGCTGATTTGACTACAAAAGGCATTGCACTCATGGATATTGGTAAGGAAACAATTTGGAGACCTTGTGTCCCAGTTGAACCAGAGCCAGAAGCACCCCCAGCTGAGAAAGAGCAGAAGGCCGCCACAACAGCAGCAACTGGAGAAGAACAAAGGCTTGATGATGAACCTTGGACAGCTTTTACACATGGCCCCAGTTAATTTTTCAAGCGGTGACTGGTACAGTTAAAATTACCGACTAATTTAAGAAAATACGTACAATATTTAATTCACATGTCAAGTTATGTTGTAACATTTTGATGATTTTCCCTTGTTATGACTTATGACCCCGTGAAGCTACAAGTAAGCGTACTGGGCCTTACTTTTACTGGTACTGGCATCACCAAACAGCCTGTGAGCAGAAACTTTATATTTATACATGTCAAATTATTTTTATTATACAGGGTTTCATTTATAGAAATACAGAAATTTGATTTAACTCCCTTTGTAATGCTATTCCCCTTGCTCGTGAATCAAATATGCCCAACAAGTTTCTCTTTATTGTTAGCCTTCCAAATGTGATTGAAGTAAAACCCAAAGGTGGGTTTGGGCTTTCTAGCTTCTTCCTCTTGAAAGCCATTTGGGCTTGGTATACATAAACATCATTATACGTTATTATATCCTTGATTTCCCATTTGTACCATTAATAGTTAGAGTGATGCTATGGGTACTAACGGATGGGTACTAATTTGTGTACTAACTAAAGTATAGTACCCGTATTATGCGTATAGTATCCATACTATGTTTTAGTTAGTACACAGATTAGTACCCATTCATTAGTACCCAAAGTATTATTCTAATAGTTAATGGTACATACTACAGTTTGTAAGACATTCATGCACTCTCAACAGTAACAAGATAAACACAGCCATATGGTACTAGAAATAGGTGGGTCTAATCAGGTACACTGCCACTGAACCACTCATTCACATGGCTACAATGGAGCAGGACCTGCCTAAACTGTCTGCATGTGTTTGTATAAATCATAAATGTACTTGTAAAATGTATCTACCTAGAGAGTTCGCCCTGCACATGCATGGCTGCTGCACCTGCACCCACAAGCTAAAAAGATGCTTGATCTGTGGGGATTTGACCTTGCTTGAAAAGAGCTAAGCCTGAGACGTGTCCTTGAAAGAAGATCACATTAAAATTTGCGTTCAACTATAAAAGGATTTGGAAAGTGTTTCTATCCCCTATAACTTGTCAGAGAAAAGATAATGCCCCATCGAAGTACAAGATTGTTTTTGTTAACAATTCAACAATCCATAATTCTAACTAATTAACCGGTTTGGTAATAAAAGAACAAAAGAGAATCTAACATAATTTCTTAAGTTTGAGTTTTTTTTTAATGATAAAAGAGCAATAGAAGAATCTAACATGGTCTTCTAAAAAGAGAATTTAACATGGTCTCCCAAGCTTTTCAAGTCTCTTTAAGGGTAAAAGAGCAAGAGGTGGATCTAATATAGTATTTCGAATTCGAGTCTCCATGATTGTTAATAGGGATGATCACTAGAGTTTGTATCCGATCGGTAGTTCTAGGGTCCCGATGATTAGTTGAGGTGTGCGTAAGTTGGCCCAAACACTCAATTCATTAAAAAAAAAAAAAAAAAAAAAATCCAATTAATATACAACTACCTTAGAAAATTTTATAAAACCTTGTGGCGAAGAGAAAACCCAGTTACAAGATATGAAGTAAAACATCAGATTTCTAATACAAATATTCTAAAGCTTGAACATGTAAATTATAAACGTGTAAACTATAAAAGTGACTAAAAGCCAGTTTATCTTTAATCTGCACGTTAAAAACTCTGAAATGTTCGATAAATTTTAGCAGGAGTCCTCATACTAAAACAAGTAAAAGATGAATTGGGTTTAAACTCTTTTCTAAAAGTACTAGAAGCTAGAGATGCTTTAATCTAAAGGAAATAAATTATTTTGAAGGTTGGGTCCAGGTGGGTCATTTTTTTAATGTATTATGAGTTATGACTTGACTCAAAAAATGGGTGGCCCATTTGAGGCTTTAAGTCATGTCATCTACAATAAAAATTTTTAGTAAATTGTTTGGTTAGATTTTGATGAATATCATGCCGGTTTTGTTGAGGCAAGAAAGAGCAGGAGATTTAATCCTGATTCCATTATTTCTTGAAAGTTTTTATTCATGTAGGGGAGGGGCCAAGGAGTTGCCTAACTAGCTATAGCTAACAACATATAATATCTCTGCATGCTTTCATTATCCTTTCATGAAAATTAAAAAGATTGACAAAATTATTTTCAGATTCCAATCTTAATTTTAATATTATCGGATTGATATGGTAATAATGATATCCACACAAAAGAAGATTAATGAAATCTTCATTATATCTGCAGGAGACTTGAACAGTGCCTCTCCTAGCTATACTAGATCGTCTAGTTTTTCATAAGAACATTAACAATAGGTTTTGGTAAAACTCCCTCTCAAAAACTAATTCAAAAAATGAGAGAATCTAATTACATATATATATTATAACAATTCACCAACTTAGTGATGTATAATAAATACAACTTCTAATACACTCACTCACTCTCGACATGTAGAGTTAGAGTCCAAACAAACAAACTGATTAATAATTATTAACCATGTTGACGATGTTGGAATAGTTTTTCATTCTGATTTGCATGTAATTGTAATGAATTATAAGTTTTCTTTTTCCAGTAAACTAATAATATGTGTACTGATTAATAATTATTGATGATGTTGACGATGTTGAATAAATTCAATTTCTAGCATCCAGAAATCTTTTAAATTTGAATACTAAACATGATCTGTGTCAAACCTTACAATCTAGTTTTTCATTCTGATTTGCATGTACTTGTAATGAATTATAAGTTTTCTTTTTCTAGTAAACTAATATGTGTACTAATTAATAATTATTAACCACATGTTGACGATGTTGGAATAAATTCAATTTCTAACATCTAGAAATCTTTTGAATTTGAATACTAAACAGGATTTACGTCAAACCTTACAATCTGGTTTTTCATTCTGATTCGCATGTAATTGTAATGAATTATAAGTTTTCTTTTTCCGGTAAACTAATATGTGTATTAATTAATAATTATTATCCATGTGGCAGGAAACAATCCACCAATGAAATCTTATATTTGTTGGAGAAAAGGAAGAAGAAGAATTGCTTGGTATTACATCACTCATTACATATAAATGCAGAGATGAAAGATGTAATTGGTTATGATGTTAATGTATCCACCAAATCTCTCTATATTTATCCAAAAGGCCACTGGCTGGAATGAGATTGGAACACACTTCATTCAACAAATAATTCTCACCATCTTTTAATTTCCTCCATCAAATCCTTAACCATTTGGCAACAAGTTAATGATAGCAAGCACTTACTAATAAGTTAACATTTATGCTTCTATGGTCCCTGCCCTATAGCTTGCTATAGCTAGTTTACTTAAAGTATTGCATAATAAATTTGATTGGATCATGGTGACTAGGAGAATGAAAGGAAACTTATACTTAAACTCTAGCTCACTTTGTCTTTAATTAATGTCATAAAAAGTTTAGAAATTAACCCAAGCTTTGAGAGAGAATTGAATTCAAGTAGTGGAGGTCAGCATCAATTTACTGGTATTGATCGATGAAGCAAAAGAAAGGGCCCCAATCCCCAACTAGGATTATTATGTTTTGAGGCAAAGTTGTGGGAATGAGTTTTGATTTTTTTCTCATTTTGTCTCACCAACCACTATGTGTTTGTATCTTGTTTAATGTACGCATATGTCAAAAGGGTTTAAAGAAGAAGAAACCTTTTTCAACAAGCACAAGTTTTTCAAACCTATCATTATGCTGCCACACCTTCAATAATCATACCAACTATCACCTTCTCCTCCTGTAATAACGCGTATTGAAGTATTATACTCTCATTGACTGCTTGTATCGTAACATAATATAATATATATAAATAATACTATATGATCTATATAATGTAAACTAATGACAACATTTGTTCAAATACAAGTTATATTATATTAGATTAGATTATGTAAAGGTGTCCTTTAATAATACAAAGCAAAGGTGAGATAGATACCGACGTTGTGATTTTGTTTAACACTTTTTGGATTCTATACATGGACTTCACTTTGCACCGAAAAGAGAGAAACAAATTTTGAAGATATGCCACCTGCCCTTTTGACCAATTTTCAAGCCTCAAATTAATAATAATTGCTCAAAGTGCTTAGATAGCTTTGCCATAACTTATCTTGTTTAATTTATACAAGTGTAGTTACACGTTAGCTTTTATAATAGTTTGCTGATTTGTAACAACACCCACATCCCCAAGAAAAAAAAAAAAAAACGAGGAAGAATTTTCTCGACAATCTCTCTCTGGGATTCAGGTTTTGATAGCAACCAACCCATATTTGAGATTAAGACTAATTAACCACTATCAAACTCAGTTTTATTAGTGTAATTGACACTGAATTTGACTAGAGGAATTGAGGGTATCATGCATTCATCTTCTCCACCAATGAAATCTAGGTTTGGTCTGCATGTGATTGGACCCACATTCCATCATCTCTAAACCCAAGTCAAGATGACAAGGTGACAAGAACCACCAACAAACCATCAATCAAAAGTTAACCCATTAGTTGGAGTTTTGGGGACTACAAATTCATGCAATCATCTCACCTTCCAGAAACCCTAATATTATTATTATTATTTAACCTTTTCCAAATACTTTCTCCATCTTGTCTGCTCTTTATTTTTTTTTTTTTTTTTTTTATAATCAATAAATCCTTAATTCAAACTGAAGTAACCCCTCAATCTATCCAACCTTATAATCTTCTCAAAATAAAAGAAAAAACATTAGTCTTTGATGAAGAAAATACTCAAAAAGAGATTTAATTCTCAAGTTCTGTAAAACCAAACCACAAACCTGATCATTTGACTGCCTTCCATAGAATAGATTACCGTATAACCAAATTGTCAAAACGTATAGGGGAAGAATAAGAAAAAAAACAATGTTAGGGTGGCACGTAATACTTAACACCATTAACCAGTTAGGTTAAAGGATTAATCCCAGTGTTGTATGAAGATATAGCACCGACATGAAGGATCATTTGCAAGTAACTATCACTGCATGGTTCATAAAGTTTGTAAAAAGAAGAGATATGGCTTCTTTTTCCCATTTTCACTTGTGCATAAAAAGGTTAAAAATCATCCCTTTTGGCTTCTACAATTTACTTTCCAGCCAGAATTGATTCTATGATCGATACCAGACTGTACATGGCCATTTATAAAATATTATTTATCTTCGTTTCATATACAAGATTGCTGAAAACCTATCAATGAAAAAGATTATACCTTCATGTATAAATATATTAATTACCCCCCATCATTAAGTAACTTAAGCAAGAGAGTCTATATATAATATACAAATTTAATTAACTTGGTTTCTAAGCTTTTGCCTCATCATTATCTATTAGTTTAATGATAACCAATTCTGTACTTCAAATTTTATTCAATTAATTGACGTAGCTATATACCTTATAATAAAAAATATGCATATATTTTTATGGTTATTTTTATAAGAATAATACAATTATATAGACAAAAATATTTTTATTAAGAAGAGAAAATCTGAAAAACCCAGATTAATTGTGGTTAGTGGTAAGTAATGTGAGTGATAATGAGGAAAAAATAAATTAAATAAAATTTGGGAAAATGTACACAAGATTACATTAATTTGATTAGATTTTAGAATTGACCCACCCGGATCCGAACCAAGCCCAAATCAAGACCCAGCTGGAGCAAGACTCAGATGTAAATCCAAGCCCAATACATCATCAAAACTGGGCCCACCATCTCCTTTTGAAAACCTACTCAATGAGGGCCCATCCACCACCCGTCCATGGGCCCTACTCTGTACTTGGGCCCCCATCATATTCACACCCAAATCCCCTACACGCCCGCCATACGCTAACCCCCCTGCACCTCTCTCATGCGTACTCGCTATCACACACCCGTGCGACACCTGGAAAGCAGGAGCCGCCGCGCGTGGAAGGTACACCCACGACTGCCCCGCCGCCGCTGCACTCGCCGCGGGAACCACCACTGGCCCAGCCGGCGCCAGGAGATGCGGCGGAGGAGCAAACGCCGAGATCATAGGGTTCCTCGCAAATGAAATAGCAGCGTTTCTCGTGGCCTGTAACTGAGCCCGTTTGAGCTGCTGCCTTTCCTTCTTATGTGCGTTCTGGTGGCCGCCGAGCGCCTGCGAGTTGGCGAATTCGCGGCAACAGTACTGGCACTCGTACTTGCGGTCATTAGATGGAGGAAAGCCCGAGGAATCAGGGGACCCGGATGGAGTTTTTGGTGTGGGAGTGGTGGGGTCTGATGATATGTCATCGTTGTCTTCAGAAACATCAAAGCCGAAGAGTTTCAAACGTGTGGTGGCGGGAGTGGCGGAGGTGGTTGGTGGGGGTGGCTTAGTTTGACAGTCAAGGTCAGCCATAGAGAAGTTAAAAAAAACAAAAAAAAAAAGACCAAACGTTGAGTAGTGTTGGTTTGTGTTTGATTAGAAAGAAAATGAAGGAAAAAGAGAGAGAGATGAAAGAAGGAATTGTTATGGGAAAGAAAGTGTTGCATGAGTGGGGGGTATATATACAGAATAAAAAGTGTTTGTAAAATATGAACAGTAAAAAGGGAGAGAGAGAAAGAGAGAGATGGTTGCGGACATCCCAAGAAGAAGAAAGTGTGTTAAAATTAGGAACACGACCCAAGAACATTTGGGGACCCAAAGGATTGCACTTGTCTCGGCTAATTACTATCCATCTATCTATTTTGCAAGAATGCCCTCCTTTCCTTTAGGATTTTTTTTTTTTCTTCTTTTATTGATTAAAATAATGGTGAATGAATGCATGATTAAAGGGGGATGGATTAGTTTAGTTTAGTTTATGTGTTTCTTGTTTTTATTATGACCATTTGTTTAATAAGGATATGAAAATGGGGATGAAATGAAGAATGTGATGCATGTGATGGGAGTGTTCTAGTATAATTAAATGATTGAATTTAAGAAAAGAGAAGATAGCTGTTCTTTGTTGGTTTCTTAATTTCTTAATTATATCACAAGATATTGATTTTCGGTGGGTTGAAAATTATTCTGATATACAAGTAGTTGATTAATGAAGAAGAAGACTATATATACAGAGATTTGACTGATGGATGGGTGAATCAATAGTATAGTACAATAATCTTTTGCAAAAACTTGACAAATTGATGTAATTAGGTTAGAAAATTAAAAAAAACTATAATATCATGGGGGTACTGTCTGGGCCACTGGCCTTTCAGTACTTGTTATGATGATGATCATGATCAAGAACAAGATCGAGTTTGATTCACATACTTAATTCAAACCCACCCAATCACATCTTTACAAAAACTCAAACTCAAAACTCCCATTATGCAACAGTCTTAACCACTGCATTCTCAACACGTAACCCTAATTTCATGCCTAGCTCCCAACCCAATTCACCAGTTAAATATTTTCATTACACGTAATCATCATCACCATCATCATCATATTATAAAATAAGTTGAAATGGAACGACCCCCAATGAGTCACGCTCTGATCAAGCTTTTGTTGATCTATCTATATTTGTCTCTGATGTTCCAGCTGAGCTGACTGATCCAATCCAACTGTGCGCCCATTTCTCTTTAGAATATTTATTTTATAAAATATTTTTTCCCATTTTGGGGAATCTCATGTCTCTCTCTTGCACTTCAAACTTTGGGGGGATTAATAACATGGAAGAGAGAGCAATCGCACCCACCGTATATGAAAAAGTCAAAACATGAATCCATGCAAACATGTTCTTGTTCTTGGTGCTCTTAGTATCATCAAATTGAAACACATGAACCTAATAAAACTAGAGAGAAAGAGAGAGAGACAGTACACAGATTTCAGACATCCAACAAGAAACACAAACACTCTCCGTGTCTTGGCCCACGTGTCAACATCACAATTATCTTCCAAATCTGGCATTAGATACGCATGTTTCATATTACAAAACTTTACTTCGTGAAGTCAAACATACATGCGATACATATGTGAGTATATATATACATGTATATGGAGATGAGTTAAAAACTTAAAAGTAAATAATATGAACTGAAAATATTGAAAAAGACGAAATGAATGTTCAGGTGATTACAAGTATGAGTAAAGGACCCACCATTACGTGTAGATGATGAAGAATTGTTGAGGATGTTTGCGTGATTGACGTTGAAATTTAGATTACTATATACTTTCTTTCATCGTGAGAGATCTCTCCGAATCTTACTAACTACAAGAAGAGATTATTAATCAGTAAATAAGCTTTTTCTAATCCCACTTAAACAAAACAAAGTCTTCATCACAACTCCATATATGACCCACCTTGTCTGTCTTCTATTCAAACCCCCTCTTTCACTTAGTCAAATTTTCCCATTCAAGCTACAAAATCATAATCTTATCGATCATCCACCGTTGGATATATTGGATACTTTTTAATCATGATTAATTAGTAGGAGGATAAACATCATGCATCTGACAAAATTTTAAACTATACTAATTCTAAGCATGTATATGACAAATCAGAAGTCAAGCTATAGTCATGGCCGACGGGGTTCAAATAAGTTTATTTATATATAATACACAAATGGATTCTTAGGGCAGCTAGCTCTTCTTTTTAATCCAATTTTAAAACAAGATTTAAGGTTATTTTTGTTATTATGAAGCATTGAAGAATGATTAAAATAAGGTGACCCATATCCCCTAACATGGGGTTATACTCATAGGAAAATATGAAATAATTGTGCACATAGATTTGGGGGGGACTTGGACTTAGATTAGAATCTTAATCTCGATTAATTACTTCAAAAAAGTAATGTTTTTATTATACCTAATCAACCTTTTTGCTTTATTATGTGGATCCAATGATTTTATCTTTCTTTCTCTCACTCTTTGTTGACAGGTTTAGAAGAAGAAAAACCTGCAAGGGGGTTGGGCCACCATGAGGCAGGGATGGGGCTCAAAGGGGAGTTGGTTTCACTCAAAAAGATAAAATATATATTCAAGTGATGATAAGAGAGTTTCTCAAATAAATGTGATGTGAGTAGTCATACTCATAAAATGTTAAAGAGTTACCATAAGGGTTGTTGGGACCATTGGTGCCCAATAAAGCTACCACCTTGTACAATTTCTTGGCTTCTCCTCTTCCTGAATTATCCTGTCTTTCATCAATGCTACAAGAAACCAACCTAATTGCTTACTTTGAATACCATTTATATCTCACTAGGGTTTTCATTATCACTTTGTAATAACTATCATATACGTTACATCTACATCATTTCTCATACGTAATATAACCTAACTACCAAACCCTAGTCTTAAACCTTTGAATTAACATTCCACCAGAATGATGTGCTCTAAAATATCATGATATCTAGTCTACACGGCAAACCTTAATCTTAAATCTTCTAGTGTTCTACCAAAATGATGAGTTCTAAGATACGTATCATGATTAAAAGATGAGTCCAAAAGTTTACCATATGCTCGATGGTTCTAGTTTAGTTAGCAAACATTAGTCTTAAACTCTCAAGTAATATATCAGAAAGATGAATTCTAAATTATCATGATTAAAAGATGAGACGAAAAACTACATGTGGGTGGCCGAGTGAGGCGATAAGAACTCTTAAGTGTATTACTCAATAAGTCTTGAGTTTGATTTCTCACAGTCACTAATAGGGGCGGTCACTGGAGGGTTTATCCAGTCATTAATTTCAGGACCCTGAAAGATTATTTGAGGTACGTGCAAGTTGGTCCAGACACCCCCAGTTACCCAAAAAAAAAAAAAAAAAGATAAGACAAAAAATTATATAAACGTATAAATCACAATTTTATTTGATTAACGTACAGAAGACGTATATGGATTGGTAGAGAAGTAATAGAGGGTGGGTGGGAAGAGACATAGTTACAAGAGTTTCTCCACTAATGGAGGATTACACATGTGAAGGTGGATCTAATTGGTGAATCTTGGTGTTTGAACAAATGAAAATTAAAAGGGTAGGACCCGCCCACGTTGGGGCATGAGGGGGCCACATGGGGGGGCAAATTTTTGTGGGCAATTTGGATTTGGCCCCATATGAACCAAACCCTCATAAATTAAATTTTAATTAGTAATTAAGAAGGTGAAAGAAAGGAATTGTCCAATCAAAGCTCTGAATCTTGTTTGATTATAGCAAAACAACTGTCCTCTAAAGAATGGTTAATTAATAATTAAATGTTTATAATTTATAATTTTGTTTGTTGTAATGGTTTCCACCATGTAATATAAAACATATTTTTAAGCCCCATAATCATGCTTTTCTTTCTTAAATGTTGATTGAAGTGATGCCAATATTATCATCTTAAGATCCCCCAAATCCTTAAGATGACCCACCAAGTTGTGCTTATCAAGGAAAAATTAACCAATCAAAACTATATAATAATATATATATATATAGTAATAATAATTAAGCTTATATTATATTATATAGTCTATAGTCATATTTAAAACTCCATTAACTTTCTAATCATCTTTTGTTTCATTTTGCAACCATTACTTTGGAAGCATCCAAAATGGATAAAAAGATAAACCATAGTTTTTTTTTTTTTTTCTAAGTTGAAATCCCTTTTATAGATATGTTCAAAGCACTTAAATAATTAATTTTAATTTAATTTCAAGCAATCCAAACAATGTGGGTGTGTGTGAGTGACTCAATCAATAAGCCTCTCTATGTATTCCAAGTGACACTACCTACTTCTCCTTTTTTTAGGTTAATTTAATTAAATTTTAACTAAAGTTGGAAGTTGGGTGGAGTTAGCTTTAAGTCATGTGAAGTGACTTATTAATTAATCAATTATAATTAATAATTATCTAACATGGGGTTGTGTCTGTATTACAATTTATATCATTATTTTGTTTACTCTAGAATGTTATTTATTAATAAATATATAGAGTTTACTACTTTTTTCCACACAAATAAAAGTTTAATAACATTTTCTCACATACAGACTTTTAAAATACCACTTTACTACCCAAATTTATATTTTGACGACGAACATAGAGCAAACTCGGTTTAGGCTACTGGGGTTTTTGAAGAGGGGAGACCGATGAGTCTTTTGTTGATGAAAAATTGGATTTTGGTAGTCGTGATTGATCAAAATTTGACTTAGAATGAGCGATTATATACAAACCCTAATCACTAGATTGCTCATCATTAGTGGGGTCAGCGGGAGTAAGGTTGAGGGGTTTTAGTAAGTAATGATCGAAAAAAAAAATAATGCTTGTGTGGGGTCACAATGATGCTGAAATCAGAAACGGAATATAAATTTGGATAATAAAATAATATTTTAAAAGTTTGTGGGTGAAAAATATCATTAAACTATTATTTGGGTGGGGAAAGCCGTTTACTCTAAATTATATATAAAAATGTATGCATTGGTATGAATTCCACAATCTTTTTTATTATGATTAAATTAAATTAATAAACCCTAATCAAGGTCTTAGGTCAATCAATAAGACAAATTAAATGTGGTTTGTTTGCTAATAAAGTGAGACATACTTAGACTTATAGACGACTACTTAAAAACATTAAAACACATCGGATAACATTTAACCCAAACAACATGTGCACATGATTTGACATTAATTATTATTATTTTTTATTGATTAAATCTTTTAATAAATTAACCCACTTCATATTTTATAAATCTTTTCCCTGACTCACACAAAAGATTATTAATTTAAGCATGGGTTAACTATTTCTTTTCTTCTGTAATACAATCTTAATTACAACATTTTTCATGACTTTGAAAACATCAAAAACGTTTTCATTATATAAAAACCACCCTTTTCAATTTTGAAGTTAATTAATTTAAATAAGCATTAATCAGTTGCATATGAAGGGAAAATGTGACAATAGATTTCATATAATTTTTGATGCTGTCCGAACACCGCCGGTCAAAAAAAAAAAAAAAAAAAAGAAGATGGGAATCTGGTTCTAGCTTGCTACAAGTTAATATAATAATAAAGTTTTCATACATTTGTATATATTTATGAAAGCATGTGGTACTTGACCTAGATTAAACTTTGGCTTAATTATTATTCTACTACATGAGCCTTAGATACCCCCATGCCATAAGTTATGGAGGAATTTGTCCCTTGCAAAAATCCAAACAGATATCAGGCTTCTTACCATTATAAAATTAATCAATCTTGGCTTGGCTTAAATTGGTCATCAAACAGATAACCTAAGACTGTTTTTCAGGTCTACTTGGAGTTAGTTAATTCAATTAATAAAACCCCATTTTAGTTCATCAAAGCCAAAGTAGTAAGCATGTGGGGAGAGACCTTAATCTAGTCCAAGATTGTTCAAGGAATTTGGTGCAAATTAATTAATTAATTTTATAATAATAGTGGTGTAAATAGTAAGTTGTTTTGTTCTTACTGAGTTGTCTTTATCAATTTTAAGTTTTCATTATATGGTCCAGTTGTCTGTAAATTCATAGGAGAAATTGCAATAATTGGTGATGGCGGATTATACAATTGTTTAAAACTTAGACATGACTGAGGTAGTTGAACATCTAGTCATTGATCATTTATAAAATTCAAGCCTTTTTAAGAAAAGACAAGATGTTTTATATCACAAAGTTTTTTAGTGTTTTTATTTTAAAAATTACATTCAAGAATAAAAATAAAAAGAATTCTTTTCTTCTATTTGACAAATTTTCATTCTTTCCATCGTCACGACTCCCCACTTAAATGACGAATACTCAAACAAGAAATCGTCGTTTTGTTGTTTTTAAAATACCCTTTTTAACATTCTCTTCTTTGCAAGATCAAATCAACAATGGATCACCAAAACATGAAATTGGAGGGGAAACAACATGAAAAAGAGAGGGAGAGCAATGAAGTTTTTATTACAAGAATACAAATACAAATGTTGCTGCAAGAAGACAAAAAGGGTGGAACACACTTGATGAAAATAAGAATACGAAGATGTACATATATTTAACTTCAAACAGGGGATTGTCTTTAACCTAATGTAAAATGCCATAACAAAAATAAGAAACCCAGTTGACCAAAGAGGGGGAAAAAATAAAACAAATAATACAAAGACAAGCTATTTTTGCGGCCAGCAAGCTTGGTGACCCTAATATGGCCCTAATATCTGCTGCAAGCAAGAAGTGGATATTCAAACATCTCAATTTTAATACAAAAATATCCAAAAAAAAATTTAGAAAAAATTATGTTTTCAATCAACCTAGCTTTTTATCAGATCCTTTAAGGTTCAAGTTGAACCATTTCTTTTTGGCTGATTTATCCTTTCCATCTGAGCTTCCGTCTTCTGCTGGGCTCTCGGCTTTCATATCTTCTCCAGGAACTCTGCTACTACTTCCATTACTTAAATTGTTAGAACTTGGATTACTAGTAATGACTGTCCTGGTTACCGTGAATGAGGAGTGGATAGTGTCTCTTTGCTTCAGTAGCTCATCAACCTGTGTTGCAGAAGCAAAAATGGTCAGGTCAACTAAACATTTAACATGATAACACAATTCCATTAAACAAGTTGAGTTCATTATCTTCTTCGTGTGCAGGCAGTTTATTTATGTCTCAAGGTATATATGCTTGTTCATGCTCATGGTGATAAACGTTTACAATTAATTAAGCATATTTGCAATTCAGCTGAAAAGCTTTCATAAATGCAGATAAATGATTCTCAATGAGAGACATTTAAGGTTTCAAAACATACAGATTGCTTCTCCTGGGTATATCGATTAGTCACTTCTTGAAAGCGTGCCAATGCCTACAAAACATAGCAAGAGCATTATAAGAGTGTGAACAACTGACTATCAAAAAATAACAAACCGTGCCAGAAAATGGTAAAAATACCTTTCTGTATTCTGTCTCAAATTCACGTAACTCAGTTCTCTTTCTCAAAATCTGAGCCTCTATATCCTTAAGCTTGTGTGAAGTATCCTCGTATGTTTTTGCACAAACTGCCTCAATTGTATAGGCAGCAGTCTTAAAAAAATTATCTCCTGAAAATAGTTCAGCAGACATCAATAAAAATAATTGCAAATAGTTTACATAAGACAACTAACCAAGATGAAGGTACAAAATTAACAGTTGCAGACCATAAACGGCAAATATGTGAGTGCCAGCTTTTAGTTCTGAAACCTCACAAGGTTGAAGACCTTCCAATCGTTTAAAGAAAGCAGCCTCAGGGTCCTTCGCCATCGCTAACTGCAGCACAACCATGTTATTTGATCATCACTTCTTAGAACATTATAGAATGCAAAACATGCACCAAGAGAAAAAGGAACAGAGGAATAATGAGGTAACAAAACTTGCATACCGCATTTACAGTTGAATCCATTCTGTATACTTGAAAATGTAAAAAGTACATCCCTGCTGATGTCACCTTGCCTGTCTTCTCGCTATCCTCCTGTATGCATAAGATATCTACAGTGTTTAGTGCATTCGTTGAACATACGTCAATTTCAGAGGCACTAATAAAGGAACTTCAGTGGCTCAAAGTAAAAGTTCAAATCATAAAAACTTCTTTAAGCAGTTACAAAAAACAAAGTGGAAAATTGGATTGTCACAATATCTTCAAAAGCTTCACTTTACAATCACTAATTCCCTAAAATAAGACAAATCAGAATGCAATTAGAATATAATTATATTTACTACAGAAAGATGGTTTCTTATGCCCATGTCCATCTTGAAGATTCTCATTTCAAACTAACAAGGTCAACTCTATATGTCTCACATTTCACACAATCATGATTAAAACCAAAGGTATTCAACATTGTAAAGCATAATACAGAAGCAAGTAAAAGTTAGCATTCAGAAAGCAAAGTACAGGCCTCAAGAGTTAAAGAATTAGGGAGTATTTTTAATGTTCAAGCTACACGTTTGGGTATGCTCAAAGCAAAACTATCCCAGAGCATGGCTCACATTTACCTATGTAAAACAATTGAATGCTAGCTTATTTAGGTAAATCTTGAAAAATACAGAGCACAAAGATCAACAGAAGAGGAATAGATATTCAATATGATATTTTATAAAATATGGTGCAACTGTGACCAAGCTCCAATTCACTTAAAAGGAACATGGCAAGACAGTTGCAAATGAAAATTTGATATCTTTAAGAATGAGTCAGGATATTTATAGAATAAAAGACCTCTGACTTTGCAGGTTCTTTTCCCAACTTACAGTGATAACCATTCTCACTCACAAATGAAGACTACATATATGATAGCCTATGCAATCAATGCTATATAAATGTAATTTTAATCATTTTCCAATCTCCGTCATCTTTACAATTAAACCACATTCCTCGCACATTAATATGTGAAACAAAAAAGGTGATGGTTTACTAATTTTTTTAAACTTTAGGGGCAACAAAGAGATTACTTAATATAAAGAAAGCACACTGTTAACAATATTGCCTTACGCAACCTCCAATTCATATTTCCAGTCAAATCTGAAAAAAAAAAAAAAAAAGAAAGAAAGAAAACTCCTATAGAAGCTCCACAAAGATGATCAAGACTTATACCACATAGTAGATGCACTATTGTATGGTTTACAAAGCAAATAATTAACTGCTAGAATCTGGAAACTTCCTGGCTAGATCATGTGTTGAAGGCTGAGAAACAGTTATACATAAAGAAGAAAAAAGGGTTTCAGCTGAAAATAAAGTTAAAAACAGCAACATTGAAATTAGGCAAAGGCTGCGTATCTCCATGGAAATTGCTAGAACATTTGCTTGTCATTATCATATTCCTACTTCCCAGAAAAATATAAGAACAATGTTGCATCAAGGAAGTAGTTGGAATCTTTTATACTATTGATCTCTATATTAAATTACAATGTTATGTTCACATTGATACACTGATAGAAACACACAGCAGCAAAAGTCAGGACATAAATGAAAAGCATAAACTATAATCTGTTGAACAATTATATTGTACAGCTTATGTCCTTTTGAGAGTCTCTTGTGGACATCTGGTCTACTTTTGTAACTATTTTTATCATCAATACATATAATTTGTTTTCTATCAAAAAAAAAAAAAAATCTCTTCAACAAATAACAAACAGAAATTCACTTCATGTTCAAGAAAATTACAGAAAACTATGAGGAAAATCATCAGAGAAGAATGCATTTTACCTGTAAGGCCAAACCGTAGCCACCGTTCGTATCTTGCTCAAAATAAAGTAACTGAAAAATTTAGTCAACAAAACTTAGAAATTAGATGCAGAAGAGAGTAAGAAGGCAAAACCACCTCAGAGAAATTGCAAAATACACAGGACACCTTTTGAACAAGATTCTGCATGCAAATATACCTTAAATTTGCTTTGTGAAGATGAAGTCACTCTCACAACAATTCCTGACTCGGCTTGTTGTTCATTTATTGTTACACCAAAAAAGTGGGCACATTGCTTTTCTACCTGTAAATAATGAAAAGTAAGAAAAAGGATATGCCGTAATGAGCAGGGCTATACTAGATAGAAGGGATGGAAGCACCTTCCCACTAACTGATGTTCCAATTGGAAGGGGTCTAACTGTGACAGTTCCATTCAGAGCTTCTTCAAGAACATTGGCGGAAATTGTAGTCTTGATAGGTACACCAAGCTTGCTATAAACAAATAGAACAAGAGTTTTAAAAATAGCTTTATGGTACTAAAAGCTCCAAATACTTCAATGATAGCATTACCTGAATAGTGCTGCAAACATTGTATTGACGGTTCCCAGATTCGACAAGTCTATTTCCATATCCATGCCTTCAGAGTCAATAGCCTGTGTAGATTTATCGTCAAACCCGTGTATTAAGCATAAGTGAAATTAATAATAAGAATTTGCATGACAAATTGGAAAAAAGATTGAGATTTTAAAATTATCAGATCATTAAAACTGAATCATTGGAAGCTTGAACATGCAGAAAGAAGATGAACAAACTAAAGTTGTGAAATGAACTGTTGCAAACGGAAAGATTAAGTATTCATTGAACAGTTGAGAGATCTCAAAAATTAAATTCCTTAAAATAAATGATAGGAAAGAAAGAGATGTATATTAATGATTCAGAAACAGGGTTTGAAAAAGAACTTTCTGGTCAATGATTATCGAGCTGCAACCCTTCAAAAGTACCACCATTCCTTTCTCTCCAAATACATCACAAGGCATAATGGCAATAGGAGCCAACTCCATGATTTCATCCTTACTACATCTATCCATGCAATCATAATCAGAACCGTACCTGGAACTAAAAAATAAACTCCAGACAAGGAAAAAATCGGCTTCCATAAATCCCATGCTGAAGAGATGTTCCATTGTCTCACCACTATCCTTACAAATACAGCAGTAATTAATAATAATTTCATTTAATGGGATTATTACAGCCATTATTTTTCTTAAAGCTGCCTTCCAAATGAAAAAAAGCTAGTAGTGGAGATTTTCAACTTTCCGTATATACTTCCAAGGAAACAAGATCCCTTACAGAGGAATCAATGATCAAGACTACATTATAAGAGCACATGGACTAAACTCTAAAGTGGACCATTTTCAACAAATTCTATTCTCTCCACATAATAAACTTCATACAAATACAATATGTCCAAAAATAGACTATGAAGTACAGCTCCCAGCACAGCAGCACTCTCAAGAAACTCAGAACCCATAGCATGATGTCATCTAATCTTACCGAATAATCTAATGTTGCACTATTCTGTTTTGAGCAATAACAAAGAATGCCAGTAAAGTGGACTTCAAAGCTGCTTAAATGCAATATATGTCATGCCAAAAGCATCCCTTAATGCCATACTTGACATCAAAAGTGATAAAATCAGAAACAGAGTTTCCAACTGTCTTCGTCGCTTTCCAAAGACCAACCCTATCAACCTTACATAAACTCATGAAACCTGCAGACCCCTTTTTTAAAGCCAAAATCAAGGGTAGGACCATAGGGCTACACTGTTATTCTGTTTGAACACATATTTCATGGTCATCGACCTTATATTATAACCTAAGCCCCGATATTTGTTTTGTTTATCATCAATCTGAAAAAAATTATTGTTGCATGTTAGAGTGACAAGTCTCAAACTCCATGTACTGATAAATTACTTCTAATTTGTTATCTTTTAATTAAAAACTCGTATTATAGAATAAATTTGTTTTCAGCATTTCTGCAATTCAAAAAAGAAAATGCACCTCAAACTATAGATTTGTCCAGTTTTTTATATAAAGTGCACAACCACAAACATGGCTACATGAACAGCTTAAACTTCACCAAAGTAAACATCATGTCAAAGAAAGAGAAAGAGAAAAGCACCTCAAATCCTGCATTGTCGTATTGTCTTCTCTTCTCTGGATCAGATAAAATACTATACGAATATGCAACCTCCTTAAATAGTTCAGAGGCTTCAGGATTGTTAACATTCTTGTCCGGATGATACCTGTACAAGATTAAGAAGACAAACTGATAAAGCAAACTTCGTCAAGGATGGATAAAATCTTGTAACACAACAGAAAGATAAAATAGTACAAATGATCAAATATATTAAGTCAATGACTCACAAATTCACAAAATGCTTTTGGTTTTCTTTTTCAAAGAAAGCCTTTTATCCAGAAATGAAGCGACAAACAATGAAACATCTACTTACCATATGAAAATTAAATAGTCCCATTTGAAATTATGTAATATTTTCAGCTTCAAACTCATAATCTTGAATCATCGATCAAGAAATATGTGGATCAATCAACAAAACTGATGGTTTAGTTTAAGAATAACTAAACCAACCTTACACAGTGTAGACCATGTCATATTAAGCCGTTAAACCAACAAAATCTAATTCTCATCACACCAACAAAATCCAAATTCAGGTGTGTTACTTTTTAAGTAAATCAAACAGTCTATCAAATCATTAAACCTTGCCCATTGCAAATCTTCAGCCCATTTCATAATTCACAACACATTCTCTTCTCCACCCTAACAACCTATTGCGCAAGAATTAAGCTAGAAACTCAACTAAATTTATCAAATTCGTCAATCATAAAGCCAACAAAACAAATTTAACACCATCCATTTCTCAAAAAGACCTGTTCAACATACAAGAAGCAAAATTATCAACAAAAATGAAACAAAAAAAGAAAAAGAAAAAGAAAGAATAAACTTACTTGAGAGCAAGCTTTCTATAAGCCGTTTTAATTTCCTGATCAGAAGAATCCCTTGAAACACACAATACCTCATATGGGTCCCTTCGAACTGTGGGGGCAGATGACCCCTCCACCTTCTTCGAACTCATGAGCTCTGTCCTCCTCTAACAAAACCTCGCTAATTTATCTTCAAAGATCTTCACTTTATCTTGAACCCTCTATTTAAACTAATCAAAGGGTCAAAATACACACAATTCAAAACGTTATTGGATCGCTCCACAAATCTTTTTTTTTTCCCAACCTTGGGAAAGACAAAAACTTTATGAATTGAAACGATAAAAACACAATTTGACATCATAAAAGCTGAGATCTAAAGAAACCCATCTCTAAAAAGAGCTTAAAACACAGATTAAGCCAAGAATTAAAATGAAATTGAAATGACAGCTAGGGTTTTGAGACTTACGCAAATTTTCTTCGTCGTCCCGTCTCGTGTCGTCTGGGCTCTGCGCTTCGTCTACGTGATTTTATTTTATTTTATTTTTATTAATTGGGTTTTTGAATTTTACTTACCAATCATACTTTAGGCTTCTTTTTTATTATTAAATCTAAAATTAAATTAAAAAAAATGCTCGTAAACTGGTGTTTAAAGTGAAGTATACACGTCAGTTAAATCCAAACATGTTGCATGTTTCATGATGTCAATATTTTCACATTTTTAATAATTTTTTAACCATTTTTATTATTATTTAATATTTTCAAAAATCATTAAAAATCCTCTAAATATAAAAGTTTTCAATAAAAAAAAATTAATTTGATTATAAAAAAATATATACAATATACAAACATATGTAGCATTACTTTCTTTTTAAAAATATTATCGGCAAAGAAATTATCCTAATTTTATTAAATTTGAATAAGATTTGGTCTTATTGCAGCTAATTCAATCATTTGAAAAAGAGGTATCACCTCTTTAAAGTAAAACTTATATATTCAGGAGAAAAAAAAAATTCTAAAATTATATTATTTTCTTGAAATTTTGGCTCAGCGGCAAAAATCTAATGTGAGATTCGAAAATCATCATAAAATTTAGGTTATTGCCTATTTTTAAGACCATGTTGGTGTACTTATAATTAGACTAAAAACCTAATGGAACTGTCAATAATCAAGGGAAATCCAAATAAAAGTATCTGGTTATTGGGGAAAAATCATTTGTAATATGAAAACAAAAGAAAAATGAAAAGGTCGTCTGAGATAAGTGAACCCTAAGAGAGTCGCCGAATTTCAAAACAAGTCGATGAAGTTTACAACATAAAACTTATGAAATGTAATATTGGGATTATGAATATAATTAAATAAGGAAAAAGAATTAGAAGTTAATCAATTTTTTTTAAAAAAAAATATTTTATTTTACAAGATAAAATTACATATGCTTGAGTCATTAGATAAAGGATGAAATATGTTAAATTTAATAATCAAAATGTTTAGCTTGAAAAAGATTTCAATACTTTAAAGGCCTAACACTTAGACCCACCCATAGTTTGTCACAAACACAATTTGGTACCCGAAATATTTGAAAATGACCATTACCCACTTTCTGTCCAAATTGTTAGTAAAATCCCATAAATTAACTACAATATAGTAATTTTATATCTAACCAAAAAATAAACTTTAATATTCATCATTAATTTTAAATTAATCCATAAACCCCTAATTTATTTATTTTATCCTATTTATTTATTTCCTTTTTCTCTTCTCTCTCTTATCCTTCTTCTTCGTCTTTCCCTTCTCTTTCTTTCCTTTCTTCTCCGTCTTTTCCCTCCTCCCCTTCTCTTTTGTCCTTTTCTTCACCCTCTTTTCCATTAATTTTAAACCCCTAATTTTGCAGGACTATGGTGTTTCAGTGATGCTGTTTCCTTCAGAATACTTGGTGGATACAGAAGTGGAGAAAATTGGTCGAGTTCTGAAACTTGAATCTATAAAAAATGGCAATGTCTGGAAGAATGTTGATATTTTGGTTTTTAACTCCTGGCATTGGTGGATTCGCAATGTAGCTAAACAACCGTAAGAGCTCTATTAACTCAAGCTAATTAGTAAAAATATATGACCTAAAATTTTAACGAGTTAGTGGTATTTGCGCCTATTGAACCCAGATGGGATTATATTCAAACTGGTAACAAGATTCTCAAGGACATGGATCATATGGTTGCTTTTCGGGAAGCATTGACTACTTGGGGCAAATGGGTTGATTCAGATGTAGATACCACTAAAACTAGAGTCATTTTTCAAGGAATTTCTCCTAATCATTACAGGTTAGACACCTTACTGTGTTTCTTTTTCTAATTTTTGAAGCAATTAAGATGTTTTATTGACTTCATGATGTCTGCTTGATGATCAGTGGCAAGAACTGGAAAGAACCAGGAGTAAAAAACTGCTCAATGGAGAAGCAACCAATATTGGGAACAACTTATCCGAGTGGTTTGCCAGCAGCATCATACGCGCTACAAGATGTGCTAAGTAGAATCAAGAAACCAGTTCATCTGCTTAACATAACCACACTTTCACTTGTTTTTGTATTTATGGGAGGTGATTTTTTCTGGCGAATCTGGATGAATTTGGGAAAAGAGGGAGAAGAAAAGGAAAAAAGAGAAGGGGAGGAGGAAAAGACGGAGAAGAAAGGAAAGAAAGTGAGGGGAGAGGAGAAAAAGGAAATAAAGAAATAGGATAAAAAAAATAAATTAGAGGTTTATGGATTAATTTAAAATTAATGATGAATATTAAAGTTTATTTTTTTGTTGGATATAAAATTATTACATTGTCCTTAGTTAAGCGGATTTTACCAACATATTTGGACAGTAAGTGAGTAATTGTCATTTTCAAACCTTTCGAGTACCAAATTATCTTTATGACAAACTATGGGTGGTGCATGTCGTTCGGCCTACTTTAAATTAGTATAATTAGATTCACAGAGGTAGCCTTTGTTTTGTTTTTGTTGGTAATATTACATGCCTTCATTCTTCACCAACAAACATGACAACATGTAATACTAGAATTACGATTTGTTCAAATATAATATATAAACCATTAGCCTTATAGTCAGATGGCAAGACTCGTGTTCAATATACTCTGGAGATTAGTTGAGGTGCGCACAAAGTAATCCGGATACCCAATCGGATTCCAATATAATTAATATGAAAGTGGACAATACTTAAACCCATGTTTTTTTCTCTCTTTTGAATCATTTTTCTGTTATTTTATTTGAATTAAAAACAGAATATGTGTTTTTTTACTTATTGAGATTATTATTCTAAAAATTAATCTGAATTAAATGAGATTTTTTCTATCAAAAATGAAAAGAAGGGGAACTTGTTTTCTATCATCATTTTCTATTCAACTTAAAGCATTTTTTCAAAGCTATTCAACTAAAAACAATTACCTTTCACTCCTTCTAATTTGAAAATTAACCCACCCAAGACCACCAACGCCTGCCAGCAACCATTGTCGACCGTCATCGCTATCGTCGACGGCGATCACCAGCACCGGTACGACACACGGTCAGCCGGACTTGACCGATCGTGCATTGATTTGGCCATTTTTGGCCATATCCACTATGGATATGCTCGAAAACGGTTAAATCTACGGCTAGAGATTTGGCCATTGACGACAACTAGAGATCTAGCCGTAGATCTGGTCATTTCTGACCAAATCCACAGTGGATCTAGTTGGAAAAAGCCAGATTAGCGCACAACCTGCTAGATCTAACTAGTCGTGCAGCCGGCGGTCACTTAAGTGGGTGGGAGCATTTGTTAATTTTTAAACTCTTATTATGAGGTCTGTTTAGCTAAATTAACAAATGTAAGGGATTAGAAAGTAATCTAAATATTTTCAGAAAATGTTTTCCAAAAATATACCAAACAACTTTTCAGCATTTTATCCAACTCTGATATAATTTTCAGATATTATACGAAACACATTCTCATAATCCTATCATATTCGATTTAATTCAACTCAACTCAACTTAAAATAGTTTTTCATAATATCATTTTTCAAATAATCTACTAAATAGACCCTAGTATTTTTCATATTTCTAAATTGTGAACTTCATGACTATAATATGTGAGAGGTAACTCTGGTATCACCATCAATGGAAGTGGTTATTTTAATTTGATCACTCTTTGTTAATTAAGGTGTGCATAATCTGACTCGAACATCTTGTTATATATATATATATAAAATGTCCACCAATCGGATTCAAATATAATTTATATGAAAGTAGACCATACTTAAGCTCATGTTTGTTTCACTATTTTGAATCATTTTTTTGTTATCCTATTTAGATTAAAAAACAAAATATGTGTTTTTTTATTTATTGGGATCATTATTCTGAAAATTAATCCAAATCAAATAAATTTTTTTCTATTGAAAATGAAAAGACGGGAGACTTGTTTTTTATTATCATATTCTATTCAACTAAAAACATTTTTCCAACCCTATTCAACTAAAAACAATTACCTTTCACTCCTTCTAATATGAAAATTAACCCACCCAAGAACACCACCGCCTGCTAGAAACCACTGCCAACCGCAACAATGCACGACCGATCAGATCTCGTTATTTTCAACCAGATCCACTGTGGATATGCTTGGAAATGGCTAGATCTATAGTCAGATCTGACCGTTGACAACAACCAGAGATCTAGCCGTTTCCGACCAAATCCACGGTGGATCCTATTCTGATATAATTTTCAGATATTATACTAAACACATTCTCATAATCTTATCCTATTCGATGTAATTCAACTCAACTCAACTTAAAATAGTTTTTTAGAATATCATTTTTCAAATAATCTACCAAATAAAATATTTTCAAATTTCTGAATTGTAAACTTCATGACTATAATATGTGAGAGGTAACTCACTGGTATCACCATCAGTGGAAGTGGTCATTTCAATCTGATCACTCTTTATAGAAGGAGATAAAAAGAAAGGTTTTGGAGGCATTGGAATTGTTTCCGTATTTCCTGAAAACATTTCCAATACTTTTGTCATTGAAGGACGATCTCTAGGATTTATCTGAATGCACCACAATCCCACCATAGTCATCTTTTTTGCTATGCCAGTTTCTTCTTCTACCAGGGAAATTTCTGAATCATGCTTCAGGTTATTATAATCCTCAAGGAGATTGTTATAAATCCTGTCAGGAAAGTATGATTCAGAACTGGAAGTATTTGTTGTCGGCTCGAGATGTTTTCTTCCACCAACCATCTCTAATAGTAACATTCCATAACTGTAAACATCGGATTTATGAGATGTATTTCCAAGACTTCTTAGGAAAATTTCAGGAGCAATGTAACCAATGGTTCCTTGCGCACCTGTCATCGTGACAACACTTCTGTTTCGCGAATGAACTTTTGCCAATCCGAAATCCGAAATCTTGGGATTGAAATCCTGGTCTAGTAGAACATTTTGCGGCTTTATGTCAAGATGCAGGATTCGAGATTCGCAACCGTTGTGCAGATACTCAATTGCATAAGCAACTGCCAATGCAATTTCAAAGAGCTTTACCAACCCTACTGAAAGATTAGCTTCTTCTTGAGATAACAAGTCTCCCAACGATCCATTGGGCATGTACTCATAAATAAGAGCTCTCGTGGAACCGTCACAGCAGAAACCTAGTAAATTGATGATATTAACATGGTGGATTCTACCGATGGTGGCAACTTCATTAATGAAGTTGCGGCCAGTGTCATTAGATTTGTCAATCATTTTGACAGCAACGAAACGACCATCTGGGAACTTTCCCTTGTAGACATTACCATAGCCTCCTGCTCCTAGTTTCTCTTTGAAGCCATTAGTCATCTTCTTTACATCGTTGTACGAGTGATTTGCCAGCAAAGATGATTGATAGGTTTTAATGAATTGCTTGACATTTAGTCCATCTCCAGGTTTTGGTTGGTTCTTTCCAGAATTGAATTTCCTGAACAATGATGGAATTCTTTTTCTAAAAGCCAACAGTACTACAATGAGCAGAATTGAACAGCTTCCAATTATTGCCCCACCTTCAGAGAAGCTTAAATTAATCAAAAGTGAAGTTTGAAAGTAAGATTCAATCAAATTTGTTTAATCATTAATCAGCTCTTAATTACCTGTGATGAACAGTTGCTTTTTCCGTTTGCCCCTGCAAGGTCAAAAGATGAAAGAACAATTATGCAAAAACCACCAAATGAAACAGGCTGCAGGGTTCGAAGAAGAAACTTACTTTTCACAGCCGCCCTTGCAAAAGCAGACGACTTTCTTCAAGCTTCCGTCATAGCCACACCGTCCGCGACGTTTATGACATTCCTCACAGGCTTCCTGAGCCTCTATATTACTCCATTTCCATCCCAATAAAAACCCAGCATCCAACACCTGAATCAGCTTGGTCCTCTGATCAGCATCGCTGGCGTTCAGAAGGAGATAGCCGAAGCCGGAAACAGGCAGGAATACCGCAAGACACCCACTTGGCGCCAACACTACAGAATTGAATAAAGGTGGATCGAATTGGGTTCTATTTCTCCATACATAAAGCTGATCACCATCGTTACAACTAACGTTATTGACAACCTTATCAGTGAACTCTTTAGAAAGAGATAGCTTCTTCGGACACTTAAAAAGCGTCAAGTTAGCACTCCCTGGAGGAAGATTAAGAGAACCTGTTGAAGTATTAGCTATAGAGAGATTGTAGAAAGATTCACATGAGCCAGCAGTGAGATCTTTGATGAGTTGGGGGTCAACGACTGTGATCAAAGTGTTCATAAGGCTGGAATCAGAAATGGGATTGGATAGTGTCATTTCCAAGTTTTTGACATGGTAGAGTCGGCCGGAGAGTAAAAGCTTGGGATCCGAAGAAGAGTTTTCACAGCTGATCTCGAAGCCAGGAAGACCACAAATGGAGTTGAGACGGGAGTAGAAGGGGAAGGAGAAATTGATGTTACCGCACTTGAAAGGGAAGCAATCGTCGTACGAGGTGTCGCTTGTCGAAAGGATAAAGATGGGGAGAAAAGTACAGACGACGATGATGAAGAGTAGAAGCATAGAGCTTCTCACCATTGCAGACTACATTTCAGGTTTGTATGGACAACATTCATCAATCATCATTCAGAGTTATTACTATTTAGAAATAGTCAATATAAAGCAGCCATCAAACTGTTTTGTCATTTGTGTAAAGTGCTTTGAACCACTCATCTAAAAAACCAGGCGTTGACGTGGTCTAGACTCTAGAGACACCTTTGTTGATTTCATTTGGAGGTTCAGAAAATTTGGTTCAGTTTGGCTAGTACTAATAATATTGCTTTCTGTAAACGAATGGGGAAGCCTCATGCTGAAACATGAAGCATGAAAATATTTTCGGACGGATCTGTTAGTAGATAGATAAGAGAAAATCTAGAAAGTGGTATCACATTTACAAATTAATACATACATCACGCATAATTTCAATTTACTAATCACCAATGAGATATACCCAAACCTCAAGATAGGTAAGAGGACATTTCCAAGAACAAAACCTAAAATAAACATGACATGACAGAGAAAAGTGAACAAAATTTCGATTTCACTATATATTTCTTCCATGGAATTATTATTTTGTAAAGCACTACCATGATATGAAGAATAACTATTTGGGAAGTAAAATATGTACCGGCAACAGCCACAACTAGGCGGGCTAGATGACTAGTTTTAAGCTATGGTACTGATTTAAAAATTTAAAAAATATATATATTGGAAAATCGAATTGCCTAATGTGCTGGTATGTGACTTACAAAGCCATGTAAATTGGCAGTGGCTCTGTGGTATTTACACACCTATATCAACCAAAGGAAACTCATTGATTTGAGGTTGAGCAGTTGGTATTTGTCATCATATCGACCTTGATTACCCTGGTATTATACGATCCACAGAACCCACACTTGTGATACAGCCAGTGGAAGCGTGCATTCCCCTTCTTATCACAGTCATTACACAAGATATCCTGGATTATACCATCAACCAATGTCAAATTCTGGAAAAATAAATTAAACGATAGTAGAGGTGAGGAGTTTGAAAAAATGCAGAATGGGTACCTGACAGCGATCCCTGTATTCTTCTGGAAGCTCCTCAGAAGCCAAAAGTGCGTCAAGCATGCCAAAGTAAACCTGTGAAGAGGGAGCATAGGCTTTTAATAACCAAAGGATAATTTGCTGAAACGATAATTCAATTTAAAAGAAGAATTTTCATACCGCCATATCTCCCAAGGATTTGCTACAAATCGGACAGATGTAGTGACTGCATGTGTATGCCTGAAATATGAAGTGTGAGCAGAATTTAGTATGAATTTTTTAAGATTTTTCTCCATATATAAAGCAACAAATATCCAGAAAGAAACCAGAACATAGAAATCAATAGACCTGAAAGCAAGCAGAATGCATGAAGTGGCCACAAGGAAGTGCTCTAACAGTCGCACTTGATGTAAACAAAAAATCACAGCAAATGGGGCAATTCGTTTCCAGACCTTTCTCTCGGCACTTGTGATCCACTAACTTCATCGCCAGGCAGCAATTGCATGTCATGCAATGAAAAAAATCAACACCAAGGCCCCTCCCAACACGGCATAAATTGCAGAAAGGGCAATGATAAACAACCCTGAAACAAACTTAAAGTGATTAGCAAAAGGACCAGTGAAGAATGAACTTCATAGCAGCTTCAACATACATTCTAAGACCACCACGAATAAAAGGGAACTGGATTTATATACTATAAAGATTAGGTCTCAGATTGTATATATAAATAATGAGATTATGTATCATCTCTTAAACTTGATACCACAGTAGGCAACCAACAGATTTCTAATTTATTCAACCATATCTTGGTATGCTATATTCTGTTAACTCTGAAGTTTGGTAAACCATCAAGCATTATAGGGTTCACCAAAAAAAAAAAAAAGGGTTCTAAGCACTTCTACCTTTCATCATCGAAAAATTTGCAGATGGGACAATAATACTTTGCCATAGAGAAACCACCACAGGAGGGTGTTGTGCAAAATGGCCCAACAGGTTGAATTTTCATGCAACACATGCACATCATTTCAGTAGTAGCCTTCCTGCAGTTAAATAAAATACATCATCACGCATGCAGAAGTCACCCAGAATTAAGAATGCAATAAAATGCACAAAATTACCTATCCATTGAATGGTCGCTGACTTTGTCATGGCAAAACCTGCATGTAAACAACTTGCCACAGCAGGCAGCACGAAGTTTGCAATTCCTTTTGTAATGCTCACACCCAAAAATTTGTTTCTCTGGATCCCGAAATGATGGAGAACAGCCAAAGATCTCTTCACCATTTGAACTTTCATTATCTCTTGCTTGGAGTGACTTCTGTTGAGAAGCAATCCAGCGACTGACATAGTTTCATGAATAGACAAGAGTAAATAGAAGCATAACTATGCATATATGCACACGCAGAGACCACAGGATGATAACAGCAGAAACAGACCTGGTCATAAGATTTTGAATAAGATAAGCTTTTCTTCTAGGGTCAAGAGTTGAATCTCGAGAAACTTTTCTTATCTCTGCTTCCAGCTCATTTTGATTCATTCGGAAAATATCATTCCACCCAGGTTTAAAAGTATGATCACTGTGATCCAGGCTTTCATGGACATCAGAGCCTACAGAGAGCAAATTCAAGATATATTAGCAAGAGATCATCACATGTGCAATGTTCATAATTCTATTATGTTGCAAATCTCAAGATGCAACAATACAGAACATGTTCCAAATTTACATCAAATTAAGACATTATAAGCAATAAAAGTAAGCAGCCAAAGAAAAAAAAAAAATTGACAACAACTTAGAGAGCAATTCACAAACCAAGTGGCGTACAACCCTCTGATGTTGCCGCGGGTGAAGCTGCTGCAGATCCTTCCCACCACTCATTAAGCCACTCACTGAACATTGTGTTTCTGGTAGCCTGCTTCCATGTGTCCATCATTATATTCTGCTCCTCCTGAGTAAGAGCAGAAGTCACCCATGGGAGCATTGACTGAAGTACTTCTGCACCAGTAGTACCTATTATACGACCAACAATTTTATCCTGTTCCTCCACAGAAAAATGTCTGTCAAATAAGGGCCACAGCTCAAGTTCTTCTCGGAAAACATGTTGATCTAGTGACACTCTTATAGATTTGCACATGCCCTGAAGCTCAGTGGCTTTCTCATTGTACTTTCTCACAGCTTCACTTCTGGTAATATCATCAGAGAGATTGATATTCAAACATTCATGTAGTTGTGTAAGGTCAGAAAGCGCAGATGAAATATCTCCAAATAATTTCTCTTCCTGCTTGTGATCTAGAGTGTAAGAATGACTGACATTATGAAGAGTCTCTTTAGATTCTAATTCTGGAAATACTATGTCATCCTCTGCATTACTATGAGCTCTATACAAACCCCACAACAGACGAAATCTACCAGTAAACTGTCTAAGGAAACTCTCATTGCAATCATTAAGTTTTCCAGATTCGACATCCAAATATTCCAAGTCTTTCCGAATGGCCTTATGAAATTTAAATATATTATCAATAGGTCGTGATGTGCATCCAATGTCTGCTGAGCTTAAATCTGTTTCCCAGTTAAAAAGACTGGAGTTAAGAGAAGGTGCAGAAGGACCAATAGACAAGGAACGAAGAGATTTGGCAGCAGCTAGAGAAGTGCCAAGATTACTGCCATTCACTCCTAAGCCAGGGACACAGCAAGACTGATTACTACAAGATGATTTATGATTATTTACAGATCGTGTAGGAGAGCAGGCATCACAATCCCCCAATGGCATCAAATTTCCACGTTTGACTGGCCTTCTATCATCATCTGTTTCATCTTCTTGAACAGATGCAAGCTTTTCATCAGCAGAAAAATTATGGGAGCACGAGCAGGATGTTTGTTTGATATCTTCTTTGCTTCCTGCCATTCTTGCAGGACAACAACCAATCGCATTTGAAGATAAGCACACATTCCTAGAATGACCTTTGCATGCCCAACCAGAAAAAAGTGTAACTAAGGCCAAATCTGATGCTGGAGCTGCAACAGATGACTATGGTGGTTAGCAACTGACAAGATGAAACAAGTAGCACACAGCACAAAAAAAAAAATTATAATAAATACTAATAAAAAATTAAGAGTAACAATCAGCACTGAACCTGCCATATACATATTTTGAAGAAAAGATCTAGCTGCTTCTTCACTCAGTGATCCTACCAACCATGGTAAGACACATTCAATCAATTTCAATGGCATCACACATAAGCTCTGATATAGAAGTTCTCTCTGTCTTTTGGAGCTAAAATGTTTCCGAGCAAGTGGAAGAACCTGCAAATTCAGTGCTGATATTAGATCGATTTGACAGAAAACAAATATGCTTGATTGAAGTTTTTAAGTTATACAAGTGATGAAAAGCAAGACAACATTAAGGAAGCATCCAAGCATTACTAACATGAGGAATAAAGAAAATAGTAATCAAAATCCCCTCATTGTGGACTACTTGTCATAAAGCAACAACAAAATGCTCACCTGAACTTCCTCATTGTGGAAGTGCTTCTGTATGCTGGCCATTATTAGATCAGCCTGTGAGCACAATTTTGTATAGAATTCAGCAGAAGATGAGTTGGCTCCAGTACTTTGAATACTTTCTATCAGGCACCTCAGCTTGTCAAATTGAATTTCTTCTTCTGCATGCTCCTGAGCAAATGAGAGTTCTGCATCTACAGCAGGGAATATGACTTTATCCTCAGCAATACTGCAGTCAGAGAAAAAGAGAAGTTTATTTCATAAAATCTAAGCAGTTAAAAGGTATCAACAACAAATACATAATTATCATATGCTCTCCCATAATAAAAAAATATTCTTCTTTATCTGTTTCTTTTTAAATAATAAGTTTATTTAAAGCCATTATAGAAGGGGAGAAGTAAGAGAGAGAACAAAGAACCAAAGAAGTTCAAAACGGTTAAGAAACTAAAGTGACATTTTACTCCATGCCTCCCATACTTCAGAGAGTTAATTGAGGACTAATCTCAATCCCTAGCTTGAGATAGAGAGAGTCATTCCACAGTCGGTAGTCATGGTTTGTGAGAAAAATAATTTGATATGTCACTTCTGAACTGTTAAACTAAATGCAATTGACAATGTGACGATCACAAGATCAGAATCGTAAAGGAAACAAAAACAAACCTATGAAATATACAGACTTCTGCAATAAACTGCAGCCTCTTGTTGAATGCAGACAGGTCAGAAAAATCTCCAGAAAGTTGAATCTTCCTAGCGGCCTTAGCTATATCATTTAACTCACTTTTTATAGCATTATGCCAAAGCAAGATTTCATCTATAGGACAGGACAAAGAAGAATTGGTAGCATCACAACTCATCTCCACATATCTCCTTTTACCAGTTTTGGTAGATTCCCAAGCACAAGGTCCCATGTCAGTTTCACAGACCAAGGCACCAGACCCAGTGTTTTGACATGTAGCCTTCAAATTATCTTCACAACTATTATGAGATGCTTTTCCTCCTTTCATCCAGGCAAATATAACTTGCTGAAGAAGTTTTTCCTTAGGAATTATCTTGCACAAGCACTTGTCCATATCCTGATGTTCATCAGATGATATAGAGGAGGAGAGCCATGGAAGAAACTCAGCCATCATATTGACAGGAATACTGCACAGAAACTGCCAAACCAATGATGCCTGCTCTTCGAATGAAAATTTCTCAATAAGCAACGGAAAGACCTGCAAAATTCAATTATAAGAGCTGAGATTGAAATATATACAATTAAAGCACTTCAAGAGGTTTAGTACAAAACCAAAAAGAAGAATGTTATGCATATAAATTCCTACATCTGCATTTAGGTTAATAGTCACAATGTTCTGCAAAAGAGAGAAACGGAGAGAGACGCCAAGTTATTACTGAATAAAAAATAAATAGATACCTGTTCCTCTTCCTTGGACATATGCTGGCTAATGGATGTCTGAAGGGCTCCTGTACAAGAGGCTAACTCCCTCCGGTAACTTTCCTCATTTCTCATACTAGAATTCAGCAACTGAAATAATTGATCAAAAAGAAAACTCTCCCCCTCATGCTCAAGGGAGTAAGTCCGTGCCACATTCTTCACACGTATATCAAGAGCTGGAAAGATAACCTACAATTTTAAAGTAGCATATGGTGATGAGTTTTATTAATTGTAAGGACAGAATAAGGGGAATAAAACAACTTCTAATGTCAAATTTAAGGATGTAAATAAAAAAAATACATTTTTCTTTTCATATTTCATCTCCATTTTGCTGATAGCCAAACCTTTAATGTTATGGAGTGTGATCATTTCGTTCTGTTATCCTTTTATGAACCACACTAGAAGCACCTAATATAGCACATAATATCCGAGCACGGTAAAAACTACCAGCGCAGAAAGAGCATGACAACAATACATCCTTCTTTAGGAAATTATTCAAACACATTTAACTTCCAATTCTGAAATTTAGCCATTCAATTAGGTACAAATAGCAATCAAAAACGAAAATACAAATTTTTGAAAAATTCAGTCACATGATTTATTAGTCTAATGTAGAAGGTATAATAGTGAAGCAGCACACACTTTTAAGGAACTTTATTTGAGCAGAGGGAATGAAAGGTCAAAACGCAAAACAAAGAGTAATTCCACCAATTGTTTCATTGAATTAAAAAGCACCATGTATAATGCCTTACTGCCAGATAAAGGTGGAAACTTGAGAAGGTATTTTATTTAATTGAATGCTGAAACAGGAGTTGCAATAAAACAACAAAAAGAATTTTATCTAATCCATCTGCATTTTACCATCACCAAGGCCATCGGATTAATGTTTTCCCAAAAGAAAAAACCTTACAATGCAAGAAGACTCTAAAAAGCAATGAAAAGCTGTCTGCAGTAAATCTGTACATGTATGGGTTAGAACATCAGGAAAAACAAAAAGAGCTCATATTTTCCAGGGTTTATTAAAAATCTTAGTTTTTTGGAATTTCACGGTATTACTTGGATTATGCACTTTCTCAAGGAAAAACGTGTTTATCTTTTCTTTTTCTATTTTTCTCTTTGGTTGACTTGAACTATAATTATAAATTAATACAGAATCATGGAATTGCAAACAATCCCTAGGGATCAGTGGTTCCACTATATGCCCTTTCTTCTTCTTCTTCTTCTTCTTCATATGAGTGATTAATGTCAATACCAAACATATTTGAATTTCAGTCAGAATTGTATATTCAAAATCCTGTTCATCGTCACAAGTTTTGTAACGTCCAATATTTTTCCTACTTTTTTCTTGGTTGACTTTCTTTATCAGTAACCCAACTGTAACATAGATAAACACAAACTATAAAGGAAAATATACTTAAGTCATTCCAAAAGAACATATCCTAGCAAGACAATTTATATAGATGCCAGATTGTATACCAGGTTTGCTGATTCTAATAAATAATAAACAGTACCATCCAACAAACCATAATTTTTTAAATCTATATTTATGGCCTGTTAATGACGTTCAAAATGATATGCAGTGCAAGATCCAACAACCATAAATTATCCCTAACCGGTAGCTCATGTCCTTCCAAACTGCCCACCACACGTGCTAAGTTAAGGTTTTGAAAAAAATACACCATCAATCACAACAACACATAAATGCAACCCCAAGACAAAGCAGCATAATGATATATGAACATCTCCACCAAACCATGTCCTTCAAAAGAACAATGTATTACCACCTCAGTGTTCGTAAGTTCAATCGATTATCAGCACTTATCCAAACAATAACATAGTTTCTAATTCTAGCTTTGTATACTCCATTATCCTCCTACTTATTCAGCAACTTCAAGTTCGACCTACAGATTTTTACTCAGCTTAAAAAAAATTAACAAGCATAATCAATTAATAAAATAATCACTTCAACTTAGCAACATAAAACACAAGAATAAAAAAATGAATTTCACAACTAGAAATGAAAAATTCGAAGCTATTCGAAGATAAACCAAAAACGACGACGAATTACCTCGTCCTCCGCATTGCAGTGGTGCTTGTAAATCTCGCGAAGGAAGTGATAGCGCTCCAACAAGCTACTAATATCACCACCGGTGTCTAAATTGGTGGCGAAGGCCATGGCGGCACGGTGGAGCCCATCGAGCTCTAACTTAATCGCCTTGTGGAAGAACAAAAAGATAAGAATCGGCGATTTCAAGGCCGAGTTCTTCAAACAAGTTTTGGATTGTGTAGAAGCGTCGATTGGATTCACCGGTCCTGCCATTACCGCCACGCCCCCTCCTCCGCCACCTCCGTCCGTAAATGGCGCCGCCATTTGAGGGAGTCAGTTGAAGATCTGTTGATTGTGATTCACAGCTTTAGGTTCACCTATTCCTCTGAAGCTTTGATTTTCATTATCTTGACTATAAATTTTTTCCTTTTTTTTTTTTCAATTTTACTTTTTTTTTTTCGTTTTTGTGTTTCTTGTTTAATTTAGTTTTTTCTTCCTATTTGTCTCGCTAGTAAAGGAGAACGGAGATAGATAAAAGAGAGAGAGCAGACAAAAGTACAAACTAGAGAGGAGGTTCAACACGGGCAGATAAATAAATAAATGCCATTTTATACTGGTCCACGTGGCAGTCATCACACCCTGTTCTCCAACCGTGATTTTTCAATTATTTTGAATGTAATTATAATTAAGTTTAGTTAATTATTAATTGATGATTAATAATAATAAAGCGAATTATTAATATTTATTATCTTGATTCTTGAATACATTACATACCTAATTATCTTTTTATTATGATATTCTTAATTCTTTAACGCGTGGCGATAAAGAACTGCCTGGGAGTTGCCACGTAAGAAATGTGAAACGTTGACAGAGCCGTAGCCCCCGTACAACAGTGAGGCGATTCCAAGGACACGTGTGTTTGGCACGTGAGAGAGAGGCCCCCCCACGAATAATTCTGAAGCATCAGGCTATGAAGCCTCCCGCACACGTGTCGAGAAAGCCACGTAGGCATCCACCTGTTGTGGATGGATTAGATTCAGGTGGTGAGGTGTGCTAAGACAAAGCAAAGTTGAGCAAAACTATTACAAGAGCGACAAATGTGAGGCCAATTTCGTCATTTTCCATGGTCAAAATTAGACAAAATACATGAAGTGACTTGGTGATGATCAAAAGAAATAATAATAGAAATTTATATGACGTCAGTTTGGACAACCTAGTATTTCCCTTGGCTTAATGTGATTTGAGTAAACTTTGGTAATTATTTTTAATTAGAAGTCCAATGTCAAATCATAATTTATTTCTTGTCATTATCATGTAAAATAAAAGATGATAATGTCTCTACATTTATAAATTTTATATACCAATTTTTGCATACGAGTTAATATGATACAAGATGATCCAAAAAAGTTAAAGGAAAATATGTAAACTCAATATATGGATACGATTATGTAGGAATAAAAAAGAAATTATTAACCATTTGTCTTCATATGTGTGTTTAGACCAGTTTACGTGTATTTCGATTAATCTTTAAAAGAGTATCAGCAATTAATCTTCAAAAAAATATCAGTAATTAATCTTCAACAATCGACGTGACATATATTTTACATGCATATTGGTAATATGGTAAATTTTGTTGTATCATATGAGGGCATTGATTTGAGTAAAGGAGATTTTTTTTTTTTTTTTTTTTCAGTTTTTCTTAAGCATGAAATAAAAATAACTGCAAAGAAAAATAGAAAAAGGAAAATAGAAGGGCATGAAGGGGAGCACAAGGGAGGAACATCCAAGGTGTGCAAATCGTTAGGTGGCACGTGACATGCTCGTGGCGTCACAAGTTAAATTTCTCCCTGACCTTTGGAGATGTGATTACTAGTCATGGGACCAAACGCCCCCTTGATTTATTTTGATCTTGACACTGTCATGGCTGTTCGATTCGAGAATCCGCTTTCGCTTTTATTAGATGCATCATGAAACGGTGTGTTTTAATACCACCGTAATGACACAATGATACGCAGGTTGTTATTAAGAGACAAAACGGTGGCGTGTAGGGCCGTCTGAATTGTTCAAATTCAATAATCTAATTATCATTAGTGTTGGTTGGATAATTTGGATTCAAATTCATATTGCAACATTGACTATAAGCCGCCGCCCAATTAAATTGAATTTAAGATTTTTAAATATTAATGGACAATTAAATAATCAATAACTAATATAATTAATCTATTTTTAATAAAGATTAATTATATTAATTATAAATTTATAATTATGAACTTGGTTCATTGCATATTACAGACATGCCCTATTAAGCTTCTTCCCCAATTAACCTGAGTTAATTAGGATTACAACGTTTTCCATTCTGCTTATATTCTATTAATTAATTGATTTGATTTAATTAATCATCTAATTAATTGATAATTACATTAAGTCAACTAAGTCATAATAAATTTATAAGAAGAGAATATAAATACTAAATGTAGACAAAATGAGTCAACCTAAATAATTTTAAAATAATTATAAATGATTAATTTTTCTATCATGAGAAATAATCAATCATTAGTTACGTTAATTGATTATTATTATTATGTTTTTATTTTTCTTATCAAAAAACAAAATTGCATAAGTCACTCATGCTGTAAGATGATCTTTTGACCCATCAAGAATATTCTAAGACGTTTCTAGTATGAACTCGATAATATCATTATATAATTTGGAAGATTTTTATTAATTAATATTCAAAAGGAATATTTGAGCTCATAAATTACTATATTACTTAATTAGAATATATATTTTTCAATGGGATTTTGCCATTTTGGTACATGCATTTAGGTTATTGTCATTCAAATTGTAAATTAAATTTGACTCTTAATTAATATATATATATAATTTTTTTTTTTTTTTTGGAGGGAAGAACAACATTTTTCAACCCGACATTTATATATAAGGTATAAAATGACATAGGGTGCGTTTGGCTCCCTGTTTTTATCCATATTCCCAATTCTATTCTCCAAATAATGTTTGGCACACTATTCCAGAAATATTACCCTATTTTTTTAATTACTTTTAGACCCCATAAGGTTATTAATTTCACTAAATGCCCCCTGAAATTTATTTTTTAAAAATTAACAAAAACCCCCCCATCAACCCAATTTGTCAGATTCCGGCAACCACCGCCGGTGATAGCCGGAATCTGTACAACAGCCTAAATTCTGACCATAAATGGCCGGAATTACACCGATCTGGCCTTTTCCGGCAAGATCCACCACGGATCTGGCCGTCAGCGACGGCCAAAGAAATGGCCGTCGTTGACCGAAAACGACGGCCACATCTTTGGCCGTCGCTGACGGCCAAAGATGGCCGTCGTTTTGGCCTTTCCGGCCGTCAACGGCCATAACAGGCCCTTAGATCTGGCCTTTTACAGCCAGATCCGTGGTGGATATGGCCGGAAAAGGCCATAATGATGCGTTACGGCACAGATCCGATCGGTCTGTGTCGTAACGAAATTTTCCGGCCAGATTCCGGCTGTGGCGGCCGGAATCTGACACTGTAGGTGGTGGGTGTTTTTGTCATTTTATATAGTAGGGTCTTTAATTAAATTAGTAACCTATGGGCTTTTTCATAAATTTTTAATTTTACCTCGTAATACTCCCCTATCCAACAATCCAATATTATCCTCAAAATCCTATCCAAAATACTATACCAAACGCACCCATAATTACCCTTTTGTTGTCTTTAAATTCATCATTTTGTCTTTCTTCCGTTAAAGTTAACTGATGGCAGATGAAAAGTGTCATTCGCCAAACCTTGGATGGGAAAATAGCGTTCTCTCTCTTTTTTTTTTCTCCCAAAAATCACTAGCCTAAATATGATGACGTAATGGACCCAGAGGGTAAAGTCGTCCAATAATTTTGTAACTCATAAATTATTAAAAAAGAGAAGAAAATTGAACACAATTCTTAAGATATATATATATCCACAATAATTAAGAAACTAATCCACAAGCAAAGAGTCTACTTTTAAGTGGGTGAGCGTGCACTTAAGATTAAATTAAATAGGGTGAGTGTGTTATCCATATGTTTGGCACACATTCTTTAATTATATCTTAAAAAATCTAATGGACAATCCACATGGATTAAAAGTTAATTGCCACTAACTTTGTCAATAAGATCAGGTCATGTTTCATTTTCTTTGCTTTTTACTAATTGCCATTAGTCTTAATCAAACATTATCGATATAATAATTATATTAGACCACATTAATTCCCATTAGTTTCGATCAGCTCCACGAACCGTGATTTTGTGTTTGGGATAAGTTTAAAGTCTCATACATAATTATGTAATTATTATCACAAGAAAATTGTTGTTTTCCGACAATATAATTATTCTGACATATTACGATATCACTAAAATAAATCGCATAATCCAACACTTGATAAACATACAATTTTCAATGGAAAAAGGGATTGATTATTAATGTTAACCAAATTTTTAGCATCAATTGCTGGTTTGATAAGGCTGAACGACTTTCACCTACTCAAAGTTTGGTATAAAGACAGATTGATATCCAAAAGGTTTGGAAATGACAAACAAATAATTTCTGTCATATTCTGTTAGGGATTTCTGTCTGCTAAAAGACAGTATAGTAATTTCATCTACAGTCACAAAATTTTTAAATTTAAATCTTTCTCTCCTAATCCATTCTCACCCTAAGCCCATTTGTACAGCCCTCTAGTGTCATCGATCGATTTTTTGACCGGATTTAGCATTTTTCTGCGAAGTTTGGTGATAAACAGTGGCACGCCCCTTGCTGGCTTGCGTTGGGAATGGAGATCTGTGGGTATTCCAGTCTTTTTATCATTTTTGTCTTTTAGCAGATGGAAATTCATAACGAAACATGACAGAAAGTGGGTGTTTGTCATTTTCAAATTTTGTAAGTATCACTTTGTTTATACAACAAACTTTAGGTATGTGTAAGTTGTTCCCCCGTTTGAGAATGATTTGGATGGATACATATTAGGGCAATAAAGTCCACTAACAAAAATCCATGATATAATCAATGGCATCCACGTCTGTTTTTAGGTCAAATACTGTATAGGGTTAGTGGCGACAGAAGGTAACTTTAATTTTAAGCATCTCTTCTGTCATATGAAAAGCCAATTAATTGCATGCTTGTATTGTATTCAATTCTTAACCCAAAAAACCCTGCTTCAGTTAGGTTCAGTAGTCATAAAGAACAAGGAACAAACTTCACCAGGAAATCATGGTGTTAATTAACTCAACATTTCTTCCTTATTAATTATCGTTTACAAGGGTCGTGATCTGCGATCTACGATTATAAGTGTTTGTATTGTAAGAGAATGTTAAGTCAGTCTCTTTTTAATAGTATGTCTTTACTATTTGCTTTGTAAAATTCGTGTCTTTAACCTCTATTTTTTTTTTAGAGGGAGTTACCTATTTATACCTGTTTTGCTCAAGGTAATTAGTGATTTTTGCAAATAGTCTAATGTTATATGGATTTTTCATGCCTTCCCATTTGTTG